TATATCATTAACTACAAGTGAGATAAAAAAGGGGAGGAGGAAATAGAGAGAACAGAGTTACATATTGTAGGAAAGGGAGAAGTGTGTAGTGACCATAGTAGCAATTGCTTTTGAGATGGTCACTACCACATGATTTCAAGAGGTAAATATTTATTAAAAGCTAGCATACTATATTTAACATTTACAAAGAGGGAAAAAGGAATATAAAAAGTAATACATGAAGCAATAAAAAAGTAATACACTAAGCAATAATCTTTATTTATGCTCAGTTGATTGTACAATTATATACCTAATATATACCTAATTATATACCTAATAAGGACCTTCCCTGATTTTATCCTTGAATTAATTAATGCAGATATCAATAGTTGGGATTGTCTCACTCTCGTGCTGTTGTCTAACTTTGGATTTGCTTTTGTCTCTAAAATTTATCTGTAGCAGTCTTTTCATTTTTGCAGTGGGTTCCAAATTATCATAATTATATTTTCGTCTGTGCTTTTGCATGTGTCTGATTTGATGAAGGTCCATGTTAGATGAGCAAGACAAAAATCGTATTTCATAGTGAACAATACCTGTTTTAAGTTTCTCTGTGACAATATTGATGTTAGAAATAGCTAGTTCTAATGACGGTTTACCACTTATTTTCATTTGTTGTATTGCAAGTTCACAAGTGTCTTCATAGGTCAATAAGGAGAACATGTACTTTGCTCTGACTGTTTGTTGAAAAATACAATACCTAACAGTATCTTGCAAGCCACTATAAATTAAAAACCTGTATTTCCACTGTAGTTGTTGAAAATTAAGTTTTCCAACTTTTTTTTTAATGTTTAAACCACTGGACAACATCCCATAGCTTTGAGCTTTAATTTGGAATGATATCTCAACTCCACAAATATTAAGACTCGTGTATAAATCTTCCCTTTCTAGATGCCTGTTGATGCCCATGTTACGATATAATCTATTTCCTCGGTCAGTTATGCAACATATGGTTCTGGAATTCTAATAACTACAAGACCTTGTTACTTAGTAACACATTGCATAAAGCCCTACAGTAGTGCATTGTTTTCAAGAGCAGCTGTGTTCTTCTCTCAAACTGTTCGCTGCAGTTATCTCATTTGCACTTATCTGCACTCCTCTGAGTTCATAATTGTCACTGAGAGAGTGTATAGTCTGGAAATACTGTACTAAGCCCTGAACAGGTGATACTTCTAATAGTACACATGTACCTGAGGGATGGCTTCTACCATATTCGTCTCTTGCATGAGAATCAAATATCTCACAACCTCCATTATCAGTATGATAGATACTGACACCATTTACATTCTATTGTCAGAATAGATGAGGAGTAATTCTGTAACAAGAGTGATTCAAAAGCCCTTTCTGTAGACATACTGTACTGATATTCCTCCATTATTGAATCACTGTTAATATCACAACGATTCACAAACATCGCATGATGAGATCTGAATTCTTTTGCATATTTCATTTCTTTTGCAACATCATTTTGTTGTGCACACAACGCTGATTCGTCACACTTTTGTTGTATGCATGGCGCTACTTTGTCCAAATTATACATTATTCACATTCATTTGACACCGCGTTGTTTGGTACCAAACAAACATTCCTGCATAACAAATACGTGAGTTTAATATTCGCACAAAAGCGACATAACTAACGGAACGAACAGAAAAATAACACAGATAATATACTCTGCTCGAGCAAAAGCATAATAAAATTATGTAAGCTTAATAATCATGATAGAGGTCACATAAATATAACAATTACGTTTATCCTCACTGATGAAAGTCCAACATGGCATCTTTGTTGTTTCCCAGAGTTTGATCACGAGGCACCTTGTATTTATCAGCAAATGTTCTCCTGTCTCTCTGTCCACATTTTCTGTTTATTCGATTTCTGGTTTGATTCTAGAGAGACCTTCGCTAAATCATTTGATTCTTTTGTTATTTTGAGTTCGCCGAACGACCGTTTCGAAATATACGCTCATTACACACGCCATCTTTTAGAGAGGGTCTACCGCGAACGGTGTGTGGGTCTGTATGTTTGAGCGTAGAAAGATGTCAACACATTCGACATATCCGCCATTTTCGAAATCGTGCAGAAAATATTGCGCCTTAATTATTACGTGTCTGCGGTATTCCCCATTGCACATTTGTGGAGAAACCCGATAGTCGCTTGCCCGACTAATGAGTGAATTGGAATTGAAAACACGAACAAGAATGTCGCATAGTGACACTTAAACGATGCATTGCAATACTTCAACGTCGTACTTTGCACTGCGAGTCTGTAAATGCTGCACTACAAAACTCCAATGTTGCATAGTGACACCTAAATTTCGTAAAAAAATAAAACTCCATTGTCGCGGGGTGAAACTTCAATGTCGAACTACGAAACCAAGAAAATAAAATGTAAAATGAACATCAAAAGTGAAAGTTGAATTTTGGCGGGGATATAACGCCATATTTATGAAAAGCCCCTACTTCTTAAAATAAATCCTTCTAATATATTTATGTTTGCACGTCCAGGTATTAGCAGATTAAGAGATTACAATCTCTTGTAGAAACTTATCGTCGAACATCACGCAACGTCAAAGTATGATTTAACACTTTAAACAATGAATAAATGACAGAGATCATTTGATGATATTTTTTGAGCTGTGGGCAGCAAGAAGAACGTGCATTACCTATTCACAGTCCGGAAACGCATACATCCTACATTGTGATTCGAAATATTTGAGAACAGATTACCTCTACCCGCTATCGATAAACCGTCATTGTCTTTAGTGCGAAGTTGAAATTTCCGAGTAACATGGGAAATGAATCGAGCATCTGATCTGATTTCAATGCTGTCGCATTGGTTAGTGTTGATTCGTCTTGGTCGCATTGGGAGAGGTAATGTTTAGTTTAGTTTAGTTTAGTTTAGTTTATCGAGATTTGCCAATAAAAAATACAATTTACAAGTAAATACATGAACAGAGACACGCAATAAATAAACAAAAATATAATGGCAGGAGAAAAATACAGGGCGAGCCCCAATTGAAATTTGTCCCCTTACAAAATACAAAGAATAGAAAAATATAGGTTACATATGCACTTATGTACTTTGCCTATAGAATAAAATAATTTGCTGACTAACTGCGACACTTAGTTAGGGCGGATTATAGAGCGGGAGCTTTTCTGTATAAAACCGCTTAACTAAGGCTTTAAAGTTATGTAAAGAGCTCGCTTCCTTAATGTTGCTCGGTAAACCGTTCCATAATTTAATTGTGCGAGGAAAGAAAGAGTTTGTAAAGTACCGCTGAGTATAAGTAAATAAAGGGCGAATGTTTGCAGGATGATGACGTCGGGTTGCGCATGTATGGTTAGCAGGAAGCAGAAGATGGTCAAAGCTAGCGTTGATAAGACCTGACCTAATTTTGTATAAAATGACAAGATCATGGACTTCTCTTCTGAATTCAAGCGGCATTAGGCTAAGAGTTTTCAGTCTCGCAGTGTAGCTGCTTTTCCTATCTGGGTGGTTTAGTATAAATTTAGTAGCCCGTCGTTGTATAATGAGTGACTCTTTTCAGTATTATGCAACCTGCACTTAATTGCAAGTTTTCTAACAGCTACTCAACAAAGCGGATCTGGGTAATCATGAGTAATTTCCTGTTTCAAGGCATTTCAAGTGATTTTCTTAGTAAGGTTATTTCACACGGGTTTTCATCACTCGCACAGGCTACTATTTCCATGCTATTTTGCCTATCTGGCGTGATTTAAGAGATTTTTTCCCTTCGCCCTCTGGAAGGGGACCAAGATTGCAAAATTTCAACTCAAACTGGGAAGTAGTTTTGACAGGAAAATGAAATTTGTCAACATTAGTGACCCCATCAATCAAGACAATCAAGGAACACCATGACCAACTCATAAAAAATGTCCATTTAATATAGACCGCCTGTAAAGTTCTTTTTATAGCGAGCGCTCTTTCCTCTCTCGAGTGGAAATTATACCTAAATCTATTGGTCTGAAAAGACAGGTTTCCAAGTCCCACTCCGTAAGTATACGAGTATTCTTGTAACAGAGGAAATTGTAGCCTACGAGCAAGCTCTTATTGGTTCTGCTAAAGATGCGATAAAGCACGCACTTTTCAGATCTTTTAATCCTGCGAGGAATGTGAACTTGTGGGAGGTCCGTGAGGGCTTTGACACGAAATCTGTCGGTACAAGAAGCTTACAGACCCACTGCATGCTCACATCGCTCGCTGGCACGAATCTCGTGGGTGTCGCAGCTCGTGTATCGCTATTCAGAACCTGCTCGTGGGCGAAGGAATTTGTGGGGCCATTCTGAATCGGCGCCTTTCAATACTAACGCAATGTGCCACCGGAAACCTAGACTTTCTTAACCTTTGAAGGAGGAAAGTTACCCCTCAAATGATCTTAATACCCAAAACATCGATTACGGGGGCTGACTAGTTATTTCGAGACGCCTGTCCAACTTCTTATCCTCCCCTCTAGAGTAACATTGTGCACTCTGTAATCACGTCTTCAGATTGTGTTCCTTTTAGAACCTTAACTTAAATTATTCGCAATCAATTTTCATCTACACTGCTGAAACATACTCAATGTTCGTGAGTTGTCCATGTTTCCACGACAGGAATGATGAGCCATTGGCTAGGTCAATGTTGCAAGGCGGCCTCTGTCTGCCAGACAAATACGCTGTGCGACTATTCTCCTGTTGGATATTCCGTCTTAACACGACAGTCTTGAAAGTCTCTTGAAAATCTCTCTTGAAAAATGTATAAAGCACAGGATTTACAATAGAGGTTAAATATCTTACAATGAGAAAGGCATGTGCAAATTTCGACAAAGTTCTTCGTGCTTCTTCTGAGAGAGGAAACCAGAGACTACTTAAGAAGCTGATCACATACCAAGGAAACCAACAGATTGCATAAAGAAAGGCCATTAGTCCAAAAATCATCATACTCCGCCGGACATTATGAACCTTGCGGTTTACAGTGTATTTTTGCTTTTCTCTTTTGCTGACGAGCATTCCTTGTCTGATCTTTCTGTATAAAGAGACTTGAAAATAAATAATTAAAACATACGGCAAAAGGAATACGAAAACGATACAGAATATATTGTGACCCGTTTGTATTTGTAGTGTTGCAGCTGTAACGTCCTCTTGATAGTAAATGAACCTATAAAACCACGTAACGGGCAGGAAAGCTATCACGATAGCAACCAACCAAACAACAAAAATAAGCTTCAAAACTGAACTCTTTGTTATCTTCCATCGGTGTCGAAACGGGTGAATGATCGAAAAATATCTCTCGGCAGTTATTATGAAGATATGATAGACTACAAGAACTACTAACATGCTCTGCAGAACAACCCCGAAAAATCCCACGACGACGCCAGCTGGGGGAGCCATGACTCTTGTCAACACAATTATGGTCAGAGGAATATTGATGAGCCCCGTCAAGAAGTCGCACACCGCCAGACCGAACAGAAAATAATTTGTTGGTGTTCTTAAACGTTTGTTTTTAGCGAAAAGCAAAAACACGACGCCATTGACGAAGACAATCAACGTTCCAATCGGCAGAAGCTGAGCTACGGCATAATACCTCGAATTGACGTCCAGAGTGGCTGCGGAGTTGTTCGCCATTGGAATAGTACCTCAATCAATCTATCGATGGCAACGAGTTTAACCTGTGCAGCTCACAGATCGAATCTATCCATGGAATGTGTCGAGACTATGCAGGTTAGTCGTTGTCCTTCACCTTTCAATTAATATTGGTGGAATTTGAAATCAACGCGTGTCTAGTAAATGTTGAAATAGCCTTTTCATCCACGGGTTTCAGTAGTACTAGAATTTCCATGTGCTGATGATTCCTAAATCCATTTGTCTGTCATCCTCGTGAATCTAATCTAACATTCCAGTCATTTGTCTATTCTGTAATCTGTTTTCCTGATATATTTACGGAAATGGTCCAAAAGGTTCAGCATAGTTAGTAGCCGAGACATTTACCATTTCTCGCAACCATCAGTTGAAGGTTTGTGTTGGCTTATGTCATTATCCACGTCAAAGACGTCAATATTCCCTTAGAAAAACGTCACCTGATAACTTCCTACTATTGTACCTTTAAAGTGATTTGATATCAACTGTAGTTTTAAGGTGTTTATATATCCCTCCTCAAAAGACTCTTTTCTTCTCATCTACTGCTTTCGAAGCCACTTCTAATGCGATTATGGACTTTGTGCTCACGAACTTGCTGCTTAAATTCCTAAGATAAAAGCCGCTGCCAGTGTCCAGTCGACCGCTTCCTATTTATAGTGAGCAATGTCGAGGTACCAGAGAGATAATCCCCATTCAGATAATCCCCATTCAGATAATCCCTGCAGGCTTTTTCTTTTTCTGGTTCATAAAAACCTTCTGATGAAAATATGTTTGTCACTTAGAAAGGAGGGCATAGCTACACACACTCTGCAATCTGTCGTGAAGTCATCTCAGATCGCTTTTCATTAACATATTCCAACTTATCACACTCGCAACGTTTGATAAAAAATTTGGGAATTTACGTTAAGCATTTCTGAAAAATCTGAGAACATATGCATTCCTTTTCCGTTTCTAACTGAGTGAACCATTTCCAATTCGTGGAAACTCCGGCCAAACTCTCAGAAGGAAAGAAGAGTACCGGAAATCGAAAGAGCTTAAAGATACCGAGGTCGATTTCTCAGATTAAGGAGAGGGCATAAATGAATTCAACTACCATTTACCAATTTCAAGTCCGTTTTTTCCGAGGGGAAATTGTCTGAGAAGGGTATTATGACTGCAGGGTCTATTCAAGAGGATTTTAAAACTGTCACAACCCCTTCGTTTCTCAGTTGTATAAAGGTCAGGAAAGTAACGTGTCATTGATACGTCGAACATAGTGATGAAAGTCACCGCACCTATCAGGTAAAGTTAGCGACTCAGCTGTAACAATAAGCGAAAATAACTTCTGAAGCCTGGATCGGGGCCTCGATGCACTTGATATACACCAGATATACAATCTGCATATACATCTAAATCTAAATTTGAGGACCGGGTTAACTATATATATGACATTCGAATCCTTTTATCATTTGCAATTTATCGCCAATATTTTCTAGCTTGTTATTTTTATTGCTCTATTTTTTCAGTGAGGAAAGGGGCGGACAGTTACGATCTGAATGTGTTTCTTGCAGCTAAATGCAGATCTCTGTTGATCTCTGTTTGGTGAGTAGTACTGTTATTTGGTTAGCGGTACCAGATCAGTTTCAGAAAACTGATCTGATACAACGTCAACTGTGTCACTACTTATCTGCCAATGGAAATGTTTTTCTACAAACTGTATGTTTTTTAAAATTGTACTGCCTTTAAATATTCATACAAACGAAACAAGAAACATTAAATCGCGTGGCATTCTCGGAAAAACAGGAAGACATGATTCTTGGCCATTCTTGGTAAAACAGAAAGTCTATCATGTCTTATAGCCCACCCATTAATTTTGGCGCGATTTTATTGGTTACTTTTCGTCACGTGGTGCAAAATCACAGGACAGTTATCACGCAATAACCCGTCCGCGTCGATATTTGTCCTCCGATTTATTCCGTGAAAATTCAGAGAAACATACTCAACACAAGAGTTTCAACTTTTCCGTTCTACCATTTACATGGAAGGAAGCCAAACTCGTTTTTTTTTTTTGCTTGCTTGCGTCAATCACGCACATTCGCCATCAGATCACCACTGGCTTTTTTACTGTGTTTACGCGCAGTTTAATTGCGATGTGAAAATTAATGGGAGGGTTATAAAATAAATAAACCCCGTTCTGGCTTGCTGGTATGTCGGCTGATAATGTCCTTGGCTGAGAGATTGTCCTCAAAATTTCATATTTGCCCTCGACGCTTCGCTTCTCCGCCAAATATTAATTTTTCGGACAAACTCTCAGCCGCGGACATTATCTGCCGACATACCAGCCGCCCGAAGGGGTTTATTAACTAAATATGACGGCATTCTCGGCCAATAAGAGCGCGAGAATTTCTATAATCACCTCAGTAATTATACTAAATTATATTATTGTAAGTCTAATTTCATATTCATTATGTAACTAAACTTTGAACCGTCTAATATTGTTGAATTTTATTCCGCATCAAACTGCAGACTTACAGCATTGTTATTTTTTATGTAAATGATAGAATGAAAAGTGAAAGTTTCCCATACACTGACAGTTTTATGCAAACAATTACTTATGAATCCACTACGATAAAAGAAATCATCACTTATTTTCATTCTGAGATTATCGTCACCAAAACTTTTCATGCTCTAATAAATAATGACAGAATATGATCCTTCTTTCTTTTTTCAACTTAGAAATATCAGAATAATCAACATCAAAATCAGCTTTATCACTTTTCACAACATTAAGGCTGTGATTCACCATTTACATAAAATCTCACTATTTTATCATTATTGTGTGCCATATTACCGCGATAAAATAACCTTCTGGTTTTATCATGGAATGCCTTTTTAGTCACCGGATTGTCATCATTGACGGCATTTTGTATTTTCAATTCCTCACTCACAAACAACAACATAAACAGTAAGATTCTGAGAGTAACATAAACAGTAAGATTCTGAAACACCGCTTTTGTTACTCATTGTTATATCGAACATCAGATAGTTGGGTGTTGAGTTGTTATACTTATGTACATGCACGATCGCTCTTTCTTCTTTTTCAAATACATTAGCGCTATATCTGCTGACTGTTTCAACAGAACCGGTTGCAGAAATTTCAACCTCAATTTTATCGACTGCAGCGCTTTCCCTAATGCAATACTGTATTCACTTGTCGCCAGTTGATGCCTGTTCACACCGATTCACAGCAATTCGATTGCTGTAATACCCTTTATCCGTGTCAAGATGAAACTTTAATTCTCTTACACTTTGGTAACATTTATGAAAGTGTTCACAAATCCTACACCGCTCACGCCATCTTCGTCACTGAACCGACCTACATGATATTCTAGTTTGTTGCTCATGTCAGTATATGTCACCGAATGATTTAATCGGTCCTCAACGTATTTTTCATACTCGGCTTTGATAGTATCCCTATTATTACTAATAGCCGAATCGAAATACGCCTTATTCGTAACATCGTTGCTATTTATTGGTGTATCAACATATACTATCTTGTGATCGTTCATATCAAGATCACCAGTCATCAATTAACCATCGTGAGCTTTCACTAATATACCAACTTGTGTGTGGATATAGTTTTTGGTCACAGTATCAGCACTATCGGTCGTGGTTCCAACATTTGTTGTCTTTGCTCCTTTCATATCTAACCCATTGCTGAATGGAGAATGCTTTGTTGTCGACATATTTTTTATAAACTCCATCTTTGTCACTGAAATCCCTGCTGTTATAATCAGGTACCAATAATTGACCGCTCATTGTTTATTGTAATAGATTATTAAAATCAACCATCCCATCTGCCTCACCTTTCATCTGGCCGAATGTGACAGCATCGTTGTTGAATTGAGCTGTTCCAAGGTTATTTATCCTAAAACCTCCATATCAACAACACTTGACATTGGCCTTTGTATTTCTCTTCACCTATTTCGCCTTTTCACCTTGTGGCTCTTGCATTCCTAGGTAACCTTTATCACCCTTTCCGCCTTGTATTCCTTGAGGTCCTACAGGGCTTAAAGGTCCTGGTATCCGTTTTGGGATTGAAGGTCTTGGTTACTACTATCACTGCTTCCGCTATTACTTTCTGAATTTGGAATTCCATGGTACCAACCCATATATACTAACTGATAACAAAATTTTTCAGACAGAAAATTGTTTCATTATGAATCTCTCATTGTACTGTATATTAGTGTGTGAAAACACTTTGATGATGTCATAATATGATCTCCCTCTGCTGCCCTCATCGATAAAGTACAAACAATAATAACCACATAATACGCTCATAAAGTCTTGATACTGCGTGCTGTTTATACATAACTTAATCCTAATTTATTTGACAATTGAACCACTTCTATTGAACAAATTTAGATCAAAGCTATCAAAATATTCGATTATGTTAGGCTTGATATTCATAGCTAACAAATGTGTGCCTGGACCAAGTTTATCATCCAGATTGATCACATAATAGCCCTTTTTGATTAGTACTTTCGATAACTCATCTCTTGAACGCACCTTATTGACATTCTTCAATTTCATGCACTTTATCCAGTTTAATAGGCCAAAGTTTAATAGTCAGTTGCTTTATCTACAAAATGGCACCCAGAGGACTGTTTTGCCAAGCAGTAACCCTTTTCCCTTTTTTTGTTGGAGGTCTTTTCTTTTTTTTTTTTTTTTTACATCCCTGCACCTCTTCTAAAAGTTTTCTTATCCCAACTGCCGATAAATGGGGGTAGTCTCATCAATTCTGCATACATTCTATTCTGTATGCCTCCACCATCAGGTGGTGGTTAAACATGAGGCGCTCTCGGTGTGCTTCTGCGTAATCTGTTCTACCTTTTCCTGTCGGAGCATTTAATTAAAGAGGAGCACCGATTCGGGCTAAAAAAGAGCTCCAAAGAATTCACCAGATTGTGTCTTCGTCGGTTTGATCACCAGGTCACCACCATTATGTGATGCAGATAGAATCTGTTCATTCTGTTTTTTATTCAGTATGCTTTTATATTGAATGAATTTATCTATCTTACTCTGCAGATTCAAAAAGCCCCCTGTCTGTCCCTACCCAAGTTTCTTGTCCACACCAAAGTTGCCTGAACTATTCAATGCACCTGTGGCAATACCAGGCAGTACCTTTGAGACAGCTTTTGTGGCCATGGGAAGCACTTTTGGTACAAAAGCTATTAAACTACCAAAAATGGGAGCCTCTCTCTTTTATCACACGTCTGATCAGCGTCTTACTTTTTTTTTTTATGTCGACACCTTTTCCTTCTGCCACTGCTTTTTTAATCTTTTTTATCTACGTCTTTGAAAGCATCAACTCATCGTGCCCACTCAATTCATTGACCTACAGTCTCAATGTAATAGCTGACTAATCTCTAAACGCCTTTGCTAGCTTCAATTTCTGATTTTCACTCAAAGTTACCGAATATGGATAATAGTTTTGATGGCCTGCTCCCAGTTGGCTTGTTAGCTCAATTGGTAGAGCGCTGCACTAGTATCGCAGAGGTCAGTGGTTCGAATCCCGTACAGGCCTGAAATTTTTTTCAGGTCTGATTTCCACTATTGCTCAAATAGTGCTTTACTGCGAAGGATCGTTCTTATATAAGACTGTCATAACTTACATATAATATACGTTACATTATTTCACATAATGAAACGTATCTGAAAGTAAAATATACGTACTATTTACTGTGTGGTTCCATTCTCTCTTGAGGATAAAAGATACTATTACTCACTTCGAGCTGTGCATTTGTGAACTGCCTAACACCGGTACAAACAGCGAAAGTATCAAACAGAAACGTGTTCTACCCCTGATCATTTAGTTTGAATTTGTGTTGGAAACACAGATTCTGATTCATCACTGCTGTTGCTGTATTGATCTTTCAAGCGGGCCGTTAAAATTGATCTATGGGAGTTCCCTTGGTATCCAAGCCTCTGGGCAGTACTTCATATGCTCTTCATTGTAAAAGCGATACTTATTGGATGGACTAGAGAGGTGGGCCTAGGCGAGGAACTTTTGAAGTCAGATCCAGAACACTTCATGGGTGAGGAGCGTATCCTGCTTTGACTGACTGAATTGGTTTACAATGGCTCACTTGGTAAAACCTAATATAACTATGAACACATGATCGTCTTTTTTCTTTGCCAAATCCAACGATTATCACAAACCACTCGAAACATTTGGAATCACTTAAGAGGATTACGAAAGTGAGAGAGATTTTTGCTAAGTCGCTTTGCCTTTGCATGATATACTTATAGTATTGATGGAATGCCGGAATATATCCTGTTTCGAAAACATGATATCTTGTGAAGTGAACGTGCCATCCATACGAAGGCGGAGAGAGGTTGGGCGGTGAAACGAGCGGATCCGAGCAAAAAGGTGTTATGCAGTCGACTGGGACCGACTTCGAACAAACATTGGCTTTTTCTGAAAATGGTCGCAAGTTCGGCTTGGATGAGCTAAAAGAATTGTTCGGCTAGGATCTATCTTTTCTACCAATTTTGATATGCCGCCATCGAGGTTCGTTGTTGATAGGTTGGCAGATAGAGGGGAGCATGGTTTGAATATTTGAAAAGATTTATAAGACTTCCAAGAAAACTCTGAAACATTTGTTCTATAAGTATCTGTCACAGAGCGCTTGTACTCTTTAGAATGAACAACAGTAAATCTCAAGTTACAGGAATATCACGACGGGTTAAAAAAAAACAGTCCGTGATTTTAAGGAAAGTATAATTCACTTCAGCCGAAGATTAATCTACGAGGACTTACCTTTGTTCGGTCACTTTTAAAAGGCAGGAAACAATCGCTATTCCTGATATACGACAACAGGGTCAGGATTCGAGGCGAAAGCAAAAATTGGACAACTTCAAACTAAAGTAAACTGCGTTACTAGTGCAGCGCTCTACCAATTGAGCTAACAAGCCAACTGGGAGCAGGCCGTTAAGTTGATTCGTAATAAACCCGTGAAAGTGATAAATCAGATACAATGAATATATGAAGTTCATATATTTCATATATTGCATAAATAGCGCTATCTACTGCGAGGATCGTGCATCATACGTATCTAATACCGCAGTTCAAAAATATATGAACTTCATATATTCATTGTATCTGATTTATCACTTTCACGGGTTTATTACGAATCAACTTAACGGCCTGCTCCCAGTTGGCTTGTTAGCTCAATTGGGAGAGCGCTGCACTAGTAACGCAGAGGTCAGTGGTTCGAGTCCCGTACAGGCCTGATTTTTTTCAGGTCTGATTTTCGCTATTGCATAAATAGCGCTATCTACTGCGAGGATCGTGCATCATACGTAAAGTAAACTCTTAGCCACTTGTGCAAGGAAATATTGATAAATTTTGATGCAGGCATCAACGCACTGAGCAGCGTGACAAGCACGTCAGAGACTTGCTTAATCATGACGCATTATTGGAAAATCTTTGCAGAAAGAAAAAGAGATTTCCGGTTCGTCGAGAGGGAAATTCTGCTGCTGATTTTTAACTTACCGGAAGCGCAGAGAGAGTGCTCGTGTCAGTCCTACCCCCCATCACACATTGCTCGATGAGCGGACTGCTCGATTCCGCATCGCTCAACCTCTCTGCGCTCTGATCTATATCTTCACACGTGAAGTTATCAATGTTGTTATGGTAACCCAATTTATCAACTTGGGCGGTTTTACTAAATACAAGGGGTTTTAATACAGTCATAGACGTTGATAAAGCCGAATATACCTTTTTGTTGGAGGAAAAACATCTGGTGATGCCTAATTGTTTTAGTTTTAGGTCGAAAATTAAAGTAAATTTTGTGCGAGTAGAGTAAAAGTGAAGGTCATCGCTGTATTCAACATACGATGCTCTTAAAATGTGTTCCAAAGTTGTCAAATATCTATATGATAGATGATAGATGATATATGATAGATGTCTAATTGCCTCTAGATATACTTCTACATCAAATAATCTGTCTGATAGATCAATATCTATATAAAGAATGAAACTATCTTATCTCTCACTTATTCGCTTCGCTCACTCGTGAGAGATGTTATCAACACTGTGGGTAAATTTCGTATCCACGCTCAGCAATGTCATTAATTTTATATATCATACAGGTAGACAGGGATTTTCGCATGTGCTGATTGGTACTATTTACCTCCGAGACAAGAGTCTGAGAGTCAATAATATATCCAACCGTTTTTTGGTATAGTTAGCCCTTCTAAAGGGTATTAGGTTCCCTAATACCCTTTACTAGGGCTAACGCCCAGTGGGTTTTTCGTGGGTTTCACTTAGCACTTTAATTTACGCTTCAGAGTTAATTCTCTGTTCCACCATTTGTGTTCATAGTGCTATGCGGCACAACATTTATACATTTTTTTAATATCTATTCCATATCCAGCTGCTGTCGTATTTTCAGTTTTTCATCTATTCACACAACAGTTTCCAACTCAATCTTCTCGCTATGTTTCTTGCCATTCGACGTAGCTATTAACTTCCTTTGCTGCGGATCAGCTTTATTGCTTATGCATGTAAAGCTCGCTGACGAGGTAGGTCTCCGTTTCAGGATTATCAGTTTGAAAGCCATAAGGAAGTCTCTCTTAAAAAATGTGTACAGCAAAGGATTGACGACTGAGGTCGTATACCTAAAAATAACGACCCAGCGAGATATCTTTTCCAGTGTAGTTTCCGCACTGACAAACCAGAAAGAAAGATACAGATAGAGAATGAACCATGGCAACCAACAAACTACGTATATAATCGCCATTAGACCGAAGATGATGAGGCATTTCTTGTCGTTCTTTGCTTTCCGCTGAGCAGCCTTGGTAGCAGTCAGCCCCTGTCTGCCACTTTTTGCTATAGATTTTAACATGATAGTTTGGAAAGTAACAATCAGGATACATGGAATCAGAAAGACGAAAGTCAAACAGAAGGCTACATAGCCAACCTTTATCTTCTTGAAAGAGACTGAGTGCGTAAGGCGCAGTGAGTCCCAAGCATACGGCATAAATCCAATCAGGAGTGCCACAACCCATACCAGTAAAGCGACTTTAAGAATCGACCTTTTTGTCAGTTGACGATGAACAAAAGGCCTCTTAATACTGTAATATCTCTCTAACGTGATTGCAAGAATATGATAGGCAGCTGAAATGGCCACGCAGTTGTTTAATAGGTAGTTAAAGCTCCCAATGTGCGGATTTTGTGTTACTCCTAGTGCAACTACTAAGAACAGAGGGATGCATACGAAGCCATTCGTGAAATCGCAAACAGCTAAACTCAGGAGAAGGCAGTTACTAGGACTCCGAAGCCGCTTGCTTTTCACAAACAGGAAGAAAACAGCGCCATTTACTATGATGATAATGATAGCGAAGGGAAGAACTTCGTAAAGGAGTCCTGTTTCATCATTTTCAATCGACATATTTGCAGAAAGTGAAAAGTTTTGTCCCTTTACTCCACCGCTCTGCGACATCTTGGAATCACTTGATGATAACAGCTCAAACTTTTGCGCTCTTCTCTATCGACCGCACTTTACCTTTCCTGTTAAAATAATCAAATTTTGGAATAAGAATTTTTCATGTTACTTGCTACGGTCCGTAGGGTGCTCATTGCGGGCTATTAAGCGAATTATTTTTAAAGTTTTTACTGTTTATCCCTGAAATTCTACTGGTTTTTATGACTTCCGTGCCTAAAAAATTCAAGCCAAGCCTGAAGTTTATATATTTGACAAGCTCGTTGAATCATCCAATGATTTAATGCCTGTTGGGCCGACAGGCATTTAACGTATTATTACAGCAAACAACATTCTCGACATCGTTGCATCCTCGGTTTATTTCTTAAACTGTGTCTGCGTCTGCGTCGATCTTATGAGCTCGACACCATCTGAAGAACTTCAGCCGTCACCGCGAACTTTCCACCTTTCTTAAAGGTCCTCAACGTTGCCACAAGAAAATGACATATGTACCTGGCTAGATTGAATACAGGCTTGTAACGCTCACAGCCTGAATAACGATAGATATCCTGTGACCGTAAAAACCGCAGACTAAATTACTTAATTTTTCAACCGAAGAGGAAAGGTCATGTAATCACTTCAATGCATGATTACCACAAATTCAAGAAAACAATGCGCGGCTAGATGACTTGACGCAGAATGTGCATCAAGTCTAACAATAAATAAATAAAGTCCCACCAGAATTTGCTGTAACTTTTCCTGCCGTTATTTTTCTATTTCTCGCAAAGCTCTATCAACCCCTCTACAGTCTCCATGGTCAATTACTCGCAGTTTTTGCTCTTTGACAAAAGAATATCTGAATAAAACTGCCAAGTAACCGAGTAACGGTAGGGGAACAAAAGCAAGCGCTCGCTACACGCGAAATTGTGATATCCTATATTCAACATAATGCTGTTCTTTGATTCTCTACCAATTTTACCTACGAAGTCAATGAGGTATGAAGACTGTATTGGAGAACTGGTTCCGAGTACTTCTTTAATCAAAATGAAAGGACTTTATTTGCGCAGCTTCTGTCAAAATGAAATAAAAAGCTTTTCTTCGCAAACATCGAATCCTATTGGCATATTCATTTCAACAGATGATACATGTAATGGAAACATGATAGCTTCGAAAAATGAACGAGGTAGAGTTTGAATCAGGCTCCATGTAGGGTTTACCTCCTACCTTTACAAGTTCTTTTTCTGGGGGTTAAATATTTTCAACGCAAGTCTGACATTCATTTTCTGCGGAAGAATAGAGATGATATATCTCAGACTGAAAAGGTGTTCTTTTCACGCTCATGAAAGGTCATTTTTGCACATTCCGGAAACACTTCTCGACGTTAACTTGGAAACTGAATCTTAGGGTAAAGGCATTGTTATTTGAAAACCACAGTATTTGAATTTCTGTAAACTGATGGGGGTTGAGGGATGGCTAGCCGTTCTACTGATTGGTTAACTAGAGAAGGTACTAGGCTTTTACATTCCACGCCCCATCTGCGTTTTTTGCCCATTTAAAGAGAGATCGTTTAATTGGAATTTCAAACCGTTAGAAATTCTGTTATTCGAAAATAATTATATCCGCTCATGTAATGCACATTGAATGGTCTGTTCTAGACGTTTCACACCCTTCTTGCAAATGAAAATTATTACCTTATAGCCTTATTTGAAAATTTTCATAACTGCAATGCCGCTAATGTAACATGCTTTCCAAAGAGTTCCGTTGCCCTTAGCGAGAGGAAAAACCTGGGGATCCCTCAATCACCGCAGAATAAAGACCGACTTTGCAAGAAGCGACGGTCCACAAGCAGATGTCTCCTGCACATTCCTTATATTGCAATTTTTTAGTCACCGTCGACAAGAAGAATGGATGGAAGAAAGTTTGAAATGGTCCAGAGAAGTTTTGTCATATGCGGCTTATCCCCTGCGGTCTGCGGCTAGATCGAAGCGAGAATGCGGCTTTCTTTAGCTTTTTCATCGATTTTTTTTTTTTTTAGCATCCCATTTTTTGCGGAGTAATCTCGTGTGATCAAGTACGGTAATGAAATACTTGCAGTTGTCAGAATCAGCCTTAAAGTTTTCGACTGTTTTGTGATTTTATTAAAAGAAGTTTTAATTATTTTTTATATATATCAAGGTGTGGTAGCTTACATATTTAGATCATCGCGTGCGAGCGAAGAACTGAGAATAAGGATTTTCAAGAATTCTCATCTGTTGGCAGTATGAAAAATTCTAAAACCTAATTCGACCTTAATTCTCTTTGTACAGCGAAATATCATTTATTTCACCTCACTAGAGCTCAATGTGTAAAAATAAGAGCTGAATTAATAGTGATTCGTGTTGTTTTGCAGTTCCCCTCAAAGTGTGCGACAGCGTTTATCTACTTTAACCAATATCTAGTTCTGCGCCCACGGCACAGGACAACAATCTAATTAAAAACTAATCATTTTCTTTATCGACTCAAGAAGCTTTCCTTCAGAGTCTACAACCATGGTGATTTAATCGTGAGCTAGTACTCTACAATAAGCTTTTTTCTGCTTGTTTTCTTGTCTTTTTTTTCTTTTTGGGCAATTCACTTGAAGAAGCGCGTATGATGATCATACCATGCTGTAACAACCAGCATGTTGATTTTCTACGTACCTGTTTGTATTTTACCGAAAGTTAGCATAGCCGGAGTACACACGCCAGAGGAGACCGCATGTTTTTTATATCAATTCATCATGTAAATTCCTGTCATCCTCTTGCTTAGAAAAAATTATGATAGAATAGCTTATACGGTGAATATATGAAGTTCATATATTTTGAACTGCGGTTATAGATACGAATGATGCACGATCCTCGCAGTAGAGAGCGCTATTGCATAAATAGCGCTCTCTACTGCGAGGATCGTGCATCATTCGTAGAATAGCTTATGTTACAGTGTATAAAACTGAGTTTTAGAAAGTAACAATAACCTGAACAAAATATAAATATCTGTGAATATGATATATTGGTCCTACTAGCTTTTGGACGCGTAAATAGCATCATAAGGTGTTGTCAGCCTCCATAAAGAAATAAGATAAAAACTGCAATAATGTGTTGATAACAACCTCCCTGTGGTTGTTTCAGCTTTGCTGGATATTGAAATAACAAGCACGGCCCGTCGATGGCCCGCTGTTTAATAGCATCTTTAAAACGACGTAATTCGATTATTGATTAGATGTACAACAGCTCTCTCGAATGAAACGATTGTAAAATTCATGTCTGAAATATGTTAAACAGCATTACGCTTATCAAACTCACATACTCAAAGCCACGAACATAACTTGAAAGTGTGCAAATCGTCCAAGAGGGAACTTGAAGCGTACCCGAAGGGAATCAGTTAACCACAGTTTCATTAGATGTAACATCATATTTTGTCATGGCTCTTGATGAGGTTGAATTTAAAGTTGGCAGCATACGTTCATGACCATTATCTCGACTATGGCGGATGGCCAGGATTTAGCCCATGACATAAATAAAGAAATCATAAAATTTCCCAGTTTTGGCCACGCAAGGTGTCATTATGCTATATATTACGAGTTATTATTAAGTTTCTATTAACTTACGTTCTCATGGGACTATGAAATGTGCCTTTCTCAGTTTTCAATGGACGACTGGCCACCAGATGGCTGTAGTGTTCTCAGTCCGATGATAAAGAGGAACATTGCTATGCAAATACCTGTCAACTAAACAATCAACTCCCCACGTGACAAGAGAATCATGGTGTGCGATTGAAGATTTCATAGGAGGTGAATTTCGCGAGTCGTGACTGGCCAAAACTCTAGTCAAAACTTTCTAGTCATAAGTGTGGCCTTCGAAATAATTAGAAATCATTTCATCGAGTGAATTGACGAGGCACAAAAATTTTCAACCGTGAATATGATAATGAAGTACTTTCGTTCATTACTGCTCCTCCAGCGTGATCACAGAATCTTCCCTTTTTTTACTTTTTCAGTCGTCATCTATCAAATACCCGCCATGGCATGGCCTAGATGCTGAAATTAGCAGTTGTTCAAAAGATGTTTTCAAAGTTGTGTTAGAGACATTTTCGTTTATTTTGAAACGTCGCATTTTACTGCAAACATACTAGTTACAGATTGTTAGCCTGTCAATAAACCCGTGGCCCAGATCAACTCAGGGGTGTTTCTTCACGGCATTAACTGTTGTCCTTAAGCCAACTGATATTTAGGTGCAACATGATGCGTATAAGAACATTTGCACGGATATTAGTGTTCATTTGTTAATTAGGAAAAACAGGAAACAGTTTTTATGACAGGATTTGTTTATCATGGAACGAAATTAATGGAATTATCCAGACTTTTGTTCAGTAGTAGTAGACTTAGAGGAACCTATTTGTGCTAAAGAAAAGAAAGGAAAAAAACCCACTGCTCCGAAGAGACCTCAAGACATTTAGCCGTGATGCCAAGACCGTCGATAAACTATACGAAAACTGAGAACGACTTGTAGAACGGCCCTCATTTAAAAGCTGCAGGAGCGCAGGCTTGTAATTGGAAGTAAGAAAATATTTTGCATCACCCTACCAATTGACAAGAAGCAAGACCAGTTCGGTTTGCTAGTTTTCTAATGTTAACGCAGGAAGCTTACATGAGAAAAACATACGTTTCCCGCACTTTTCATTCGCTTGGTCTAACCATTATATTCCTCTTCGAGAGGAACTGTATTGATTACACACAGGCTACAACTGATCTGATGTTGACCTGATCTAACACAACTTACCACAAAAGCGCACGCTACTGTCACCTTCCTTCGATCAATCCCTTCACTAAAGTACTTAACGATGTCTTTGAGAAGATTACAGTTGATCTTCTACGCTTTTGGGCTGTGAAACAGAGATCGAAGACAAGCATGCTCGACGAATGCGCCAGCCTAAAGTGAATATCGTATAAGAACACAAAAAGCAAATTAAGGTCCTTCTATGTGCCGATTGGTGCTTTTCTGTCCAACCAGAGCCGGCGCTCACCACTTCTGACCCGACTAAGATGGATGCCTATTCTACAAACTTCTTCATAGCAAGGTGTTATTGTGACTTATCGACTATTAAAGGCAGCGGAATTCCTGGGTTGACTAGTGCCAAACAGTTCAAATTTTCTTTCTATGAGATTGACGGTTGAGAGTTTTTTTTAATGTATATTTAAATGCATATTTTATATGATCTTTTTTTAACGTTTGAGTATCTAATGTCAACTCCATTGAGACACTGATTCAAAACTACAATTGATTTGTAACGATTATGTTCAGGAACACGATAACGCCACTTACTAATACAGCATTTCTAAGCTGTTTGAAGTTCTTAAATACTTACAGCAAAAATACAATTGCGAGTTTTCCGATAGCGGCAGAAAGGCGATTAAAATTAATGTTTCAAAGTACCAGACAGCCCCATACCTTTGCCGCCGATACCATTTAGCAACGCAAAAGTGCATTAAGCATATCCTAATTTTTTCAAAAGCAATATCTTCAAAGATGATATCATTTTTCCTTTGCCTAATTTGGTCACAGAAAGTAGCAGATGGAAAGTTTCGTGTTAATCAGGTGATGAAGTGCTGAATAAATCTTTTAGAGTTATTAAAAAGGAGCAAATGGCAGAACAGATTTTATTGCCGCTTTTATTTTTCAAAAATCTCAGAGTAATTTTCTTGCTTTAAACGGTCAAAGTAGCGTCTTTTGAAATAACTCGCTACATGATTGTCACAACATTCGTTCATTTGGCTTGAGTTCAAGTGTAATGAGTCGGGAAATAACTGAGACCTGTCGTTACTTGTGTAACACCCCCCCCCCCCTTAAGCTAAGTTATACAAAATACTAATATATCCGTGGTTGAATGCCTTTTCATACCAAAAAAAATTAGTCGTAATTATTTTCTTTATTTTTTTTATTGCCAAAAGGCAAATTTAGCTTCAAGTTATGAATTATTAATGACCCTTATTAATCTATTAGACTTCCAAAAGTTCCGAATTCGCGGATAGAGGACGAAAAAGGAATTATTTTTATTGCCTCTGCCTCTCACTGAAGTAGTTACCTAGTTCAGTTACAGCCTTCCCTTTATAAAATGTTACAAACATTAAACCTTGTGTCTAAAAACGTCTCAGCAACAGGTACAAGGAAAGTCCAATAACATTTAGCATCGCGCGCTTCTTTTTCTTTTTTTTTTTATTTATATTGTTTTTTTTTCTTGTTTTTGTTCTTCATCTTTTCATTTCGTTTTATTTTGCTTTGTTTTTCAATGAATATGAATTTTCGAGATCATCGCCCTTTTTTCCCAGTAATCCTATTCCGGTGAGACGGCCAAGGCCTTTTTTATGGGCCTCTGTTTTCACAATGAAAACTTAAATTTCGAAGCTTCTATAATCTACAGCTGACACATCCTTCATGGTGAATCCTATCAAAATATAGTTTTGTTGCGATCTAAGGCTGCCTATATCAGCATAGGGTGAACCTGGAGATTGAATCTTATTGAAGGGCGTATTTTGAAGTGCACCAATGAAGTCGTTGCACTGATTTGAAATTTACGGCTAGGTCCAGCTTCAGTATTGACCATCAATTTTTCGAGTGAAATATAGCTGGGAGAAGACGCTACAGCGACGATAAGTTCGGTAAAAGCGCAATCAGATTGTGTGATTGAGTTGTGAAAAAAAAAAGTCCAAAAGAAACTCACCTTAATCTTCACTCCTGAATCACGCATAGAACTAAAGCAGCTGCATACAAACAAATCAATCTGGGTTCACACAGTAATCATCACTGGTTTAATCAAAACTACCAAACATGGAAAAACTGAATGGCTCTTTCGTAAGTAATTCAGACATGAGGAGACATGGTTGTTTGGTCCAAATGCTAAATCCCTGCTGAGCCAGACACTGGCCACCCATTTTTTCGTTAAACGCCTCCAGAAAAGTTTGAAACCAAAAAGAATAATTGGGTTATTCAGTTATTTGAGTGACATGTATGTGAAAAATGCTTTTTATTATTCACTTATGACTCAGTGGACCGATTGATAATGTTGAATGTGTATAGAAATCATCAACTTTATTATTTTTTAAATCAGGATTGAAAATGATTTTGAATTTTTATGAAAAACGGATGACTCACAAAAAAGTTAGATTGGAATAAAATATGATTTTAACTTTGAGATGATAGGACGTTGTTTGCGAGGAAAAAAATGTGTCTCCGAGCTAGGGAAAGCTCAAGTGAGGATATGAAACTTCAAAAACAAGTCATAGTGCATGTGATAACTATCAGGCTTCTTCTATTAGATAATCGACGACAGAAGATTCACCGACTCGATCATTCTTTCCTAAATTATCATTTGAAGAGGCTATTTTAACGAAATTGTCACATAGGCTTTGCAGTAAATCTGTTAGCTACTGGAAGTACTAAAATGCTAAAGAAATTTATCTGCTCTCGATCCAGATGACATGTATTCCTCGAAAAACCACTTTTATCTTGCGCGGCTTTTCGCTAAGTTGTCAATAAAATAAAATCTACGAACAAAAACGCCTTTCCATGCCAATAAAAAAAACTGATTTTTTCATCTCCGGAACTATAGTCAATTACTTTCTTCTACTTACGTTTCTTGGAAAGTGAGAAATCCTTTGGGAGGACCTGATACAATGAAAGGGTGCTGAGTTTCTAAATGAACACGAAAGCGATATCAAGACACGAACATGCAGCACCTGACTCATTTCTAGTTGAATTAATCCATCAGTGTCATTAAAGATATTGCCACTACATCTTTACCTAGCCATTAATATAAATGGACGACTGTAAAAACGTTTTTCAAAAGCTTTTAGCGCATGAAATATATTATATTCGCCAATTGATTGAGGCTAGTTCTTCCATTTCTATTTCGAGAATTAGTCATTCCAGATTATCTGATGACTTAAACTTGAAATTGGAATTGTTTCTTTTCGTTCGGTAAACATTTTAATAGTTACTCAAGGGTTATAAAAATAATCTGATCAATCGTATGATCCTGTTATTCACACAAGTAGCATCTAACTTGCACTGAGTTCTTCTGGCGTCGGTTGAATGAGATGCACCATTAGAGACCTCAAATAAAAGGCGGAAGAGATTTCCCAAATTGAATTATACTTGGAAAGCTGATTACTACAAGTTTCTTCAGTTCCTATAGAATCAGATTTCAGCAAGAAAGCAGTTTGGGAAGTTTTCAACCGTACGTTTTTACGGGTCGTCAGCTTTTTAAATCTAGGGAAATGGTGTGAAGAATCATTTTTATGATAAAAGGCTGATAGTTTCTGAAGAAACCGTTTGGGGCTGCGTCGGTGGGGGTAACGAAATAATTTGAATATATCAACAAAGTTGAAATGGTAAATTGGCCACCGTAACGATTACAAAAGCTGACGTTTCGAGCGTTAGCCCTTCTTCGGAGCGAATAGAGGAATTGTGGGTTGTGTGTGCTTTTAAAGGCAGAAAATGGAGCTACGTTACTGGTGGGAACATGACAACGAGAAAAACACGAATAAATTAGTGGAATGAAAAGCGTTCGTTGATCCCTGTGGGATTTAGACTGCCGGTTTGAAAGATGAGCTCTTGTTCAAGAGTTTTACGGCTTTCCCTGCTACCTAAGTGTAAGGAAAAACCGCAGATTGCCATATGTTGCTTAGAATGATTAGGTAAATTGAAGTGTCTAGCGACTGGTTTCGATGTGTCCTTGTCACTCTTTTCAACGTCGCGAAGGTGTTCTCGGAATCGGTCACCTAGTCTTCTGCCTGTTTCGCCGATGTATATCTTTTTGCAATAAGTGCAAGTTATGCAATAGATTACATTGGCGGAGGTGCACGTGAAGTGATCGGTGATCTTAATGGATCGTTTGGGTCCCGATATTTTATCAGTGTTGTGAATGAAAGGACACGTTTTGCATCGTGCAAGAGTGCATTTAAAAGTGCCTGGTTGGTCATCAGTCTGAAAAGAACTTCTGACCAAAAATTGCCTATGTTTTTGTCGCGTTTGAATGAAATGAGCGGAGGCTGCGAAAATATAGTGCTTGTCTCTGGATCGTTTTGAAGTAATTTAAAGTTTTTAAGAATGATGGATTTGACTGAGTGGTTGAGAGGGTGAAATGTGAGAGTGAATGGAGTGCGGTCGGAATCTTCCTTTTGTGACGTTTGTAGTGCTGAATGTCGATCAATAAGTTGGGCGCGGTGGTAACCCGCTTGAACGACAGAAACAGAGTAACATTTTTATGATACACAGATCGTCACTTGGTTAATAGCCTGTTCTCGAAACGTTAAATAAATCTGTCAGAATGATAACAGTCAAGTTATAGAACAGGTGGAGAAAAGCCCTGCTCCAAAACCTGACATGGAAATACTAGCTAAACCTTCAGTGAAATGAGGAGGACTGTTGGAGTACTCATTCAGCCTCTGACGGAAATTATAGAGGTCATTGTCAAATTATTCGAACTTTACCTTCAGCCATCGAGGTCTTTTGCCACCAAGCTTCACTGAAGTTGAATATTTGACTCTTAATCCATCACTGTTCTTAGTTGACTAAAGACCCTAACTCCGCTGCTCCTCTGTCTGCAGATATCATGATAAGCTCTGGAAAGCTTTTTTGTAACCATATCTCCTCAGTTAATAAACTTCACGTCCCATGCGATCGGATTTAGCAAAGAACTACTTTTTGCAAAAAGTCAATGTAAGGAAAAAAAGGCAGATAGTCTTTAAAGAAGATCACTATTTTTTACATGTCAAACATGTTCAGATGTTCACATTCACGCAAGTTACAAAATGGTCTGAGGAAAATTGTTTTGATAAATGAAAACTTCGAGAACTATCCATAACTATCTGTTATATGTACAATTATGTAGCTGACAAAGAAAAAAAAAACAGAAGAAAAAACAACTCAAAATGTAATTGTTAGATAGACGAGGCTGACTTTGTTATTGGGAAGGGTATTTTCTCAGTTGAAATTTACAGCTTCCTCAGTTTGATGAACCTGAAGTTTTTACAGAGCCAGCAGGCCATAGGGAAAGCTTCTAAATTTTAAAAATATTTCAAAAAGAGAGAGGACCTGTAGATATTGTTTTCGTCGATATAGCAAAGCATTACAGTATGTAAAAGTATAATTTGTTTACTAAATTGGAGAACACAGCACTGAGTCTCAAAATATTTTAAACTAGCATCTTGGAATCAAATTACTTAAAATTAATCAATTTGCCAATACATCATCCGTTACTACGTTTCTATGGCATAAACCTATTCTCTCCATATAAATACACAAAACCCAATTTCTCCACTTTGTCCTAAGGGGGGCCAACACTTGACTAATCTTTTTTTTACAAAAGGCGGCACATTGGTTTATACGTTTGTCACATAACTTGATCAAATCTCTTTAAAAAGGTGTGGTCAATTTGCCACGGTCAGTGATGAAAGTGAAGTGGTAGTCACTTCGATGAAAACTTTTCAGGCCCATGAAGAACAGTATCAGTATGCAATCGTTATACAGCGGAAGAGACTAGTTCGTGAGGCGAGCAATAATACTGTATTTCTAATTTGATGAACGTTTATCGAGATGGTCTTTTATGTAGGGCATAGTCACTGTAGTCGTAAGAGTTGGGCTGCCGTTTGTTTCAGAAGTTGCAGTAGGTCTGTGAGTGTTAGGAGATGTCTGAAACCATCTCGCGTATCCTTCAATTCGACCCTTCAATATCCACATCGCCCACAAAGCCACCATTACAATATGACAATGTCAGTGGCTAATCAACGTCAAAGACGAGGACGAGACGAAGAACAAACAGGGAGCTCAAGTACTCCGACTGTCGAACCTCCTCCATTGGAGAGACGAGCAAAAACCTCACAACAAGACTGATTAAAAAAAAAAAGAAAAAAGCCACAGGAAATGATGATGTTAACAATCACTTCGCTTGACTGGAACTCTGCGCAATGCCTAACTTACAACACGAACTATTTTTAATGACTGACTCTGGAAAGCTGGTGCCCTAAACTAAATTAGTCCATTGCCAATGTAGCTTGGCCGGTTCGTTATACCAAAGCATTGCTTTACTATCTCCTTGACTCCGCTGGCCTGATAAGAAATACCTTTTGCGATGGAGAGATTGACAAGGTGGCTGACCTTTATTACGCGCATTTCTCCTCACCCGCCAGCTGCCAAGATAAGATACTGTTATTTAACTTCTACAAGCGGAAGAAAAAAAATAGAGGCATTGAAAGAAATATTTGAATTATCACACAGGACTAAAGAATTGAAAGGCTAGACAATAATTTATGCTTGACACATCTATGAAGCCATGAAAATCATGCTCAAACTTAAATCCTACGTCATTCTACATAGGATTTCGTGGCATTTTCGATACCTAGCCTTAAATTAGAATATCACTCTTATTACAAGTGGGTTAAATCTGAACTAGCTGAATTGAAATGCACGCTTATTCAAAAGTATTGATTTACCGTTGTAGGAGAGAAATGAATAAACAACATGTGTCAGGACAGCTGGGCCTTTTCGCAAGGCACGTGCGTTCTATTATTGAAGTAATTCAACTAAATCTGTTTGCTTTGCATCACTGAATAAAGCTTGTGGCTATGTGATAACACAGAGAAAAAATTGTAGAAACCATATGCTAAGCTTACGCAGCCTCCTCTATTCTACACTCCAAATTGAACCAATGAGGAGCTACCAAAATCTAACCTACAAAGTTTGACAACGTGCGCCTTTCATCTTGGCCGCATTATATTCCGATATTAAATGTTTCTTTCGAGAGTTAGATTCCCTCCACAATAGTAAGTAAACAGAAACTCGCGATCAAGTCGATATTCAAATGTTCTGCTCATCCACAATGGACTTCAACGCTTTTTGGCCAATAGGGAGTTGTTTTTCTTCCCTTTTGTCTCCTCTATTCTTCATTTTCATTCATCCTACAACATAGCGTGCTGATGCTTTTTGGTAAGAATCGGGCAGACAAACATTACCACGGCAGAAGTGTAAAACTTGTCAGCGTATCTGATTTGTTGTTTTTTAAACAATAAAAAGCTTTGAAACTCTTAAACAAAGCACACGATAAAGTGAAATTAACATATATCATCATTATTGACCAAAACATAATTTAATTGGAAAAATTTCTTCATCTCCATTTGATTTAACAACTAAAGGAGTAGGATTCAATTGGCATAACTAATTTGCATAACTTTAGTTTAGGTCCCTGTGATATGATCTTGTTGTGAAACAAACCCGATCTGTCCGTCCTTTTATCACAACTTCTAATGCTTATCTGAGAAGTCCTTGCCTAATACTACGAAACGATGCTATTCAACTGGATGTACGTGAGTTATACATTTTCACTGACCATCCTACTGATTTTCTGTGGAACATCTGAAACCACGCGGCAAGGTTAGTTCCATTCATAAACAGTCTCAATACTTAGCACCACTAATTTTCTTTAATATTTAACTTCTTAAAACTGGATCTAATTTTGCCGGTTTATCAAGTTAGTTTCCTTAGTTTGGAGATATTGGCGCGCCTTACAACGAGCGATTACTAAGAAGTGGGACTAACAAATGCTCTTGAGCAGATTATAAGGAAATGTCGAAAAGTTATTGATGTTAACTGAATAAAAATCGCGTCTGTAATTCTGTTCTGAGACAAAATGAAGCGTTTCGGTACTGAACTGTATGAAGCATTAATAAAAACAGTCCAACTGTTTCCTCTATTTTAGGCCGTATGGAAGATCATTTTTTTACAGTGTTCTATATCGCGCTTTCATCGGGCAGACTAGTATCGTTTACTCAAAAACATCTGTCTCTTTCCCTCTTTCTTGTCGTGCAGGAAAATTTTGTTTTTCTTTTTCATCTCCAGCTTATTAAAAAAAAAAAAAAAAGAACACATTAATAAGAACTTGAGTGCTTGACTGAATCACGGTCCAATGTGTTATCGGACAAACGCACAACATGCAACTAACAATCTAATTTAGTTTAAAACTGCAAAGCGGCACTAATGAAACTCTCTCTTAAATCCCCAAACAGAAAATTCGGCAAATAACAACTCTTGCGTACTGGAAACTAGTCGAACAGAAAGAAGGAAATAAAATGAACTCTAAGACCTGTAATGAATTGCAACGATTTTAAGAGGAACATTTACCAAAAAAAAAATCAGCATTCTCAATTCTTCAATAGGTTTGACCTAGTTTTTACGTTACCCTACATTTTACTCGCATTTTGTGATTACTTTTTGTCATTGTATTAATTATATGGAAAAACCGTTTTATTGTGGGTTGGTGAATAAGTGTGGCCAAAGCACTTTAAACGTAAATAGCAATTCAAAAGCCTGCGAGTAAGTTCTCATTATTAGCGTTGCGAGAAGCGTGTTTCCCGCCCGCGGGAAGATTTGAGACGAGTCGAGGAGAGCTCTACCGGGGAACTGGCACTCCTTATAGACCTTTCGACGGCTCGCATTGCTCAAGGCCTCACAGTTTCTCGCAGGCGAGAAAAACCTCGCACCAAAGCGCTGTTAATGAGTGCCTGCTCACATGCTCTACAATAGCAATTCAAGTGTCTTTAGACAAGCCCAATGATAAAGTATCATTCATTATCAGTATTGCCATCATCACCACTATCATGATCTCATCATTATTTTCAAACGCTTCACTCTTTATCTGTCCGACTGAATGGACTGAATAAACAAATAGGATGAGAAGAAAGTTCCAAAGTTTTAAATGGTAATGATAATTATTTGTTCGCATGATATCCACGCATCATTTTTCTTTGAAAAACTAAATCTGGCTGTACAAGTTCATGTCAACTAAACTACAAACCTAGCACAGCTATCTTTTGTTCATAATGTTGTAATTGATTGGATAAGTATAGGTGATCGCATGGGGCCGAGTAAAATTAAGGATTGATATCACGCGTGTTTTCGGAAGTTGCTGAAATTGCCCGAGTCGCTGCGCGACTCGGGCAATTTCTGCAACTTCCGGAAACACAAGTGATATTAATCCTTAATTTTACGAGGAACCGCGTGATTACTTGTTTATAATATAAGGGGCAAAATGTTTTCTTACTGATCTCGCGAAAAACGGGACGCCATTGTTACAAAACAAACAGAAATTCTTTACCTTGGCAGCCGTTGCTAAGCGATTTTCAGCCAATCTTTTTCAAGTAATTTTGCCTGGGGCAATTACAAAAATTAAGAAAAAATGCCCTCTGTCTTGACCGATCACAATTCAGTAATTTTGCCCCATATATGATAAACCATATCAAACATCTTTTTAATTTGAAAACAAGGGATTACGGCCTTAACGGCACAGGGTATCATGGGATTACGATATCGACGGCACAGGGAAAAAATGGTATAAGGGCACAAAGAGATTCCCACAGCACCCACGAAAAAAGACATAGCCTATTCACACCAAAAAGTAAACCTGTTCAAAGCTATTTTCAATGCTTGAACCGGTTTAAATTGGTTTCTTCGTGGAAGCTGCTTAAACCGATGTTTGGTGAACTCAAAATTAGCCATTAAAATTACAAGTTAGTGCATAGTGACTACTTAAACCTTATGGAAAGTCCAGTTTTTCAGTTATCCATTTTTTTTTTATTTTCATTCAGTTAAACCTGGTTAACAAAACTTGCTATGTAGGTGTGAATCGGGTTTTAGTTCTAATCAAAGCTGTGTCAAGAAGAAAAGAAACGAGCTCCATTCATCCAAAACGAACAAGAAGCTACAAAGAATATCATTCAAAAGAAACGGGCTCCAATTATCAAAAACGAACAAGAGGTTACACAGAATATCATACTTGACTTAAATATTTTCCCTGTGCTTGTGTTGTTGACACTTCTATTTCCTGTGATTAATTTTCCCAGGTTGCACATTTACCTTAACACAGAACAGCGGCACATTCCAAACTCCGAATTTCCCCGGAAAATACCCTAATGGTGTTCAATGCATTTGGAACATTAAAGTACGAGCGGGTCGATTTATTTTACTCTCTTTCGACACATTTGTGTTGGAAAGCTTTGGAGGAAATTGTATTGACATGGTAGAGGTCAAGGACGGAAGCAAGTCTACGGATCAACTGCTTGGTAAAAGCCAATAATTTACTCTTTATTACTTTTACTCGCTTTTATAACCGGTTTGCAAACTTGCATATCTGCACAGTTTTTACAGCCTGACTAACAACCTCTCAATTGGGATATTTTAGGTCGAGGAAACAGTGACTATGATTGATTTAGGCCGCACTGCAACAAACTGACCAGTTTCTTTCTTCCTAAAATGACTCGACAATTGCAATTTAGTGAGATAAGAGCGTGAATTAGGCTCTGATTTCCCCATAACAACTTTAATGACTCCGTTTATCAACTTTCAACCTGTTTGAATTAAACGCAAAACAGACTTACCTTGTTGCTTATAAGATCCCGACTGAATGGATATCTTACATGAGACACTTTTTTTGCCATGCAATTCGGTTAAAAAAATACTACCTCTGAAGAAAAAAGTTCATTTTAATAGTGTTGGCAATAATTTAGAGGTTAATGACAGGTTATCACAGTACTACAGATCGAGAAAAACGCTGTTTCATAATTTATGTGGATGTCATGGTATCTTTCATAGACTACAGACAAGCTTAGCCGAGATATGTTGTTCTGTCTTTTCCTAAGGTACTTTTTGTAACGCCAGCCTCCCGCCGAAGGTCATTACATCGAGTTCAAACAACTTGAGGCTTTGGTTTTTTTCTGATAAGAGAGACGCTTATAAAGGTTTTCATGCCTCCTACACCAGCCAAAGGGAAAAAGGTAATTTGAACAGGGGACTTATAGGGCTGAGAAGTTTCCTGAGGTATGTCTAACACTGTAAAACTGGTTGGCTTTTATGAATCCACATAAAATGCATCTTTCAGCAAAGAAAGCCTCATGAAAAAGGATGTGTCAGGTCTGAGGATGGATATTTGCTGTAACTGAACAAAGATTAAATTGTTGTATTTTAATTGCCAAAATAAATAAATTTGTTTGTTAGTTGGGCTTTTAAGTTTTAAAAAAATATTTCGATCGTAGTATGAAAGCTTTCTTCAATTCGTCAACGAGCTTTAAATTCTTCTTAAGTTATTTCTTCCAATGACGCTGTCAACAGTCTTGATCCGAGTGGTATACAGGACGTGTGTCACATATGAACCAAGAACTGGCCCAGGTCATCATAGAGCTCTTTCTAGCCGAGTGATAAAGGATTTGAGCGCAGACTCAGATTATTCTTCCCTGTCCACGCTGACTATGCTCGTGAAAAGACGGAACAAATCTTTCTTTACTTGATTGAAAATGTCGATAACTGTTTCTAGGATAAACACATCGCAATGAAGCTCTTTGAAGTAACTTGAATCATCAGGTATACTGGTAGGATTTTAGCTCTGTATATGAACGCTTTAAGTCTAAATTTATATCTTTACCAGGCTGCGGCGGTTCCGTCACAGACTTCTCAGGGCGAATTTCATCGCCCCGATACCCGGATTATCCGTATCCCAACTCCATGCTATGCGATTGGACTATCTCTGCACCACGTGACGAGTTCATTCGCCTTGAAGTTTATGATTTTGAAGTAGAGTCCAAGTGTGGAGGAAGCTGCTCTTGTCCTGATCGCCTTCAATTATGGGATGGACCAGAATTCAATGAGACAGAGATTGGAAGGTGGAAACTAATTCCTGAGTTCGTAATATGTAGATAGGTCCTTGCTATCTATCCGTTTTTATTGTCTTTCCTATAAACTAAAACACAACTCCCCACTTCAGTAATATTAGTAGCTTCATCTTCACTATCAACTCAACTTTTCAGGAGGACTCTATTATTCTTTTAAGAATATTGCAAAGTTGTTAAAACAGGTTTGTGATATTTTGTTTAGTGGAACAGTTTTTTGTGGTACCTAATGATGCTATCTTTGTACACGTAATTGATGTTGTTTTACTAATAATTTTTCACATATTATTGTATACATTCTCGAGTAACACAAGGATCCTTTCTTATCTATGATTATTTGCTTCTTGTTTTCCCATAATTTTTCTCGTGTTACACTCGTGTTCAAGGTATTCATTTAGTTTAAAACATTCAATGAATCTTTTACACATATTTAACGGAGATATATCATTTTCCATGGTCCTTAGTTTCTGCGTACCCATCCATAACGTGATTGTTTCGAAAACTAATCGGATGAGGCTGCGCTTCGCAACAAATCGAGAGGGACGCTTCAAGGGCTTCAGATTGTCGTACACAACCTCTGTCACACCAAGTGAGTACCCAAGGAGTGTTTTCGTCAGTGGAGTGACTACCTACTTATTTATCACCTAAGATATTCGAAGAAAATCCTCCCATTTACAAAGCTTCTAATTAACTTTCATAAAGATACTGCGTATGGAATCTTCCAAGCGTCTTATTATTATCTTAGTCTTCATGATATCTCAATCCTTATTATGTACCAATCCTATTGGTGTGCATATGGTGTTCCAATCGTTAGAGTGTCCCCTCTGGTTTCCACTCGTCGTGATTTCCCAATCCTTACGATGTCCCTATCGCGTTTCGATCCTTATGATGTCCCAGTTCTAAAAGTGTCCATATGTTGTCCCAATCCAAGTGTCTTTATGGTTTCCAAATGCTCATAATGTCCAGCCCAATCGTTATGGTGTCTATATGTTGTCCCAATGTGAGTGTTCATATGGTTTCTAAATGCTCATGACCCTCAATCCGTCACGTGTTCATACGGCGTTCCGATCCTCATGATATACCAATCCATAGAGTGTCCTTATGGATTTCCAGTCCTTCGGATATCTCATCCTTAAGGTGTCAGTTAGTGTCTCAAACTTGATGGTGTCCATATGGTATCCGAATCCTTCTGATGTCTTTATCCTTCTGGTCTTCATATGACATTTCATTGCACCCTGTGTCATTGTATTTTTCAGGCTGTGGTGGAGATTTTTCCGGAAAGAATGGTTCGATCATATCTCCAAATTACCCGAGCTCCTTTCCCGCGTTTTCTGACTGTGTTTGGCGGATAAAAGCGCCTGTCGGCCGGTACATATCACTAAGATTTCAGGAATTTACTGGAATCAACGGCATCAATTCGGAATGTTTGGTTGACTCAATTGAACTTAAGGAGGGACATTCAAGTGAAGCTCCGCTTATAGGTATGCAGAGTGAATGTTCTTGTCATGCAGCCACTCCATAATTGTGGAACGATCTTCCGGGTTTGATCAGAAATATTGAATTTTTTTAAACAGGTTTAAGGAAGTCTTTAAGACTTTTTTATTTGCAAAAGCTTTTCAATTCTTTTTGTGTATATTTTATATTTATGTTTCTACATTTCTTAGCTGGCCCGTCTATTTGTCGAGTCTTAATTTTTAGCTTTATTGTCTGACTGTAGTTCAATTTTTAACATTGTGATACCCAGTTGGAAATTTTACATTGACAATTGCGCAATGTAAGTCGATAAATTATTATTCTATTATTATTATTATTATCATTATTATTATTACTATTATTATTATTATTATTATTATTATTATTATTATGTGACAGCAGGTACAAATTCACATACGGCGTTTATGATACCGTTATCATTTCCCATACGATGACTCGCTACTCCCTTGCTACTGTGTCTATAAATGAATTGAGATGGTAAATTTAAGACTGTAAGGTTGTTTTTTTTTTCGTCAGGTCGCTACTGTATTCAGAACATTCCGCCAGTGATTGTGTCCAAAGGTCATGAAATGTACATTTATTTCAAGGCAAGAAGTCGTGAGCTTAAAGTGGCAGTACAAAAACTCAGACGGTTCAAAGCGTTATTCTTGACTCACACAACTGGTAACGCAATAATTAAAGTCGATGATTCATCCCAACAAGGATTTCACTCAGGCTTAAACTACCAAATAAAACTTCGCTTTTTTTCTTTCAGAATGTAATGAAACAATCGGTCTAGAGGACGGCAGAGTAAAAAATTCTCAATTGTCAGCGTCCTCGTACTACACCCTTCAGCTTGGTCAGGGTCAGCTTCACCTTTCTCCTAGGCACGGGAGGGTGAGGAATGCTTATTCCTGGTGTAGCCAGGTAAAACATTGACCACTGAGTGGCATTCGATTGATCATTCTATTTTAACAAGGTTTCTAGAATATACGCAAAAATTATTTTTCTTAAAAACTGAACGTTTACTCCCTTTAACACAGGCACAAACACCTAACAGGATAGTTGACGAATATCTTCAAATTGATCTGATTAAATTAACCGAAATTACTGCCATAACAACGCAGGTAAGGCAAGATTTTTCACTTTGATTAGAAGTTAATGAAGTTAGCGGAGAACCTGCCCTGTCTAGGTAATGAAACTCTTGCCGGCGACAGCTACAGCGCGAAGTGCGATTGGACCTACATATGAGGCGGAATTGGTTCTCATTTTCCTACAAGTTCTGCATAAAAGAGCCAATATTCCTACTGCTTTTCAAAGTCAGTGGGAAAATATTGAAAATTGCGATATTCTCTTTCCAAATTGTTTTTGAATTCCCATGAACTAGCACCTAGTTTATATGCCAAGTCGATTTTATAAAATCATCGAGCTAACGACTGAAACTCAATCTAGTAGTTACTTTTTTTTTTACCTTTCGGAAGGAAAACAGACACCGAAAAAAGTTAGCTGACATCAAGATATGTCAAGTTAAAATGTAACAGTTGAAATTTTAACGGTTAGAAAGCAATTTGTCTCTATTGAAAAGGGTTATCACCTTGGCACCGAATACATGGGATTTGTGTCAAGCTATAGACTGCAGTATACATATGACGGAAACCACTGGATTTCTTACATGGACAACACTAAAAACAGCACCAGACCGGGATACACAGTAAGTTTTAAGGTTGCTACGTTACACGTTTCTTGTAAGGTTTGATAGCAGTCTTCAGTGTTTTTGTTTTAGTTATTTGTTTTTGTAATAGGCTGGCATTTAGACAATGTCAAAATTATCAATATCAAAATTGCATGCAGAATTAACTTATACTTACGTTAGGGTTTTATTTCATTCTCCTGCTACCTCTGTCCTTTCGTCAACAGGAGTTCAAGGGAAACTCGAACTACAAAGATATCAAGAAGAATATCTTGAAACCGTCCATTGTAGCGAAAAGAATTCGAATATTTCCAACTGGTTACCAGAGCTTTCCTTTCCACCACATGTGTCTTAAGGCGGAACTGTATGGCTGTCCTTTTAATGACCTAGGTACAACCGAAATTTCTTCTCATTCTTCTTTGTCTGATTACATGTGCTAAACTGACCACACCACATTTGCTAAGAACTCCGTTTATAGTTTCACCGTTATCACTTGTTGCTTTGTCAAGTACGAAAGCCCAAGTGATATTAATTAGTCTCACTTCTCATCTGCTGTCTTTCCTTCGCTCGTTTGTTTCTCATTTTTCTCTCCTCCCTTCCTTCCACTTTTATTCATTCATCTGTTGGGCAAGCATTACACCTACTACTATTGGGAAAAGATTATGAGCATGCGTGGCACCATTTACATTTCATATGCATATCATATGCAAGAAAGATCTTCTGTAGCTTACAAGAAAAATGCCGTCAACCATCAACGATCGCTATGTAGTTCTCAATTTGTATGTTTTAATGGCTTCTATAATCCCTTACTGTCAGGATGTGGAAGTATTATTACTCTGGCGAAGCCGAATAAAATCTCGGTCCGTGGATCTGATCGACAAACCAAAGAGTGTACTTGGTTATCAATTCCCAGTCGCCCAAGCCCTCAGAATGAAGTCATAACCTTTCATTTCATTTACTTTGATGTACCATGCAAGCATGGCCATGTGATGCTACTCACCAGAGATGACAACCAAATACAAAAGTTTTGTGGCGCAGACCCTCCTCGAGTGTCCAGTCTCCCTGCCGCAAGACAAATAATGGTGAAACTAAAGCTTGAAAAAGGAGCTGCTGTTTGGGGATTTGACCTCAAGTACAGAACTGAGTACTTAGGTAAAATTGTTTTATAACATCCCGTCAAATCCCAGTGATTGATTTCATCCCCCAAAATATGGACCCGTTTATAAAAGCCTCCCTTAAAATTGTCTTGATTTCTTAACTAAGTAATTTAGGTAGAAAATATAGGGCCGAAAACCTTTTTTTTCACGATGCGTTTGGACATAAATTTTCCTCCCCCTTATCATATCAAGAGAGTACAAATAGTTTGCATTCTCTTGATCATATATAAACGCTTAATTTAATTTTAAAGACTTAGTCTTACTCGTGAAAACCTACTTTCTAGGATGTGGAGAAATAATTCGAGTAACTGAAAGCGGTACTGTGACGTCGCCAAGCTATCCTGAATTGTATGACAACGATCAGAACTGCACGTGGCTTTTCTCCTCGGAGCCTGGGTCAAAGATTGCACTGAGATTCATCGAATTCGATCTGCAACCAGCCAATGGATCGAAGTGCCTTGATTTCGTTCAGATTCAAGAGGGTCGAATAGGTAGAAACTGTTTGTGATGTTGTCCAAAGACAAGATGTTAGGTTTTTCTGATATTCAAAGAGTATTTCGTACATTCATTGTTGTGCCCAGTAGCTTAGTAAAAACTATTCAGAGAGATATTTCTCTGATTAATCATTTTTCCTTGAAAGATACATTGAATTAAGAAAAACTTGACGAAGCATAGAGATACCTTTATGACGTTCCCTGAGAGAGAGACGCAAAGGTGAAATAATTAAAACTATTGCAAAGAAACTGAAATAGAAATTACAGTAGTAATCCTACCCACCTCACTCAAGATTTCGGATACGATGGCAAAATATTATTTGTAAAAAAATAAAGGGCCTTTCGCAGAAAGGAACGTTTGACATAGGAATCTCTGTAAGTCTCAGGTATTTCGTATTTTCTGAATTTACTCTTGCTTCAGATCCTACGACAGTTTTGAAGAAATTTTGTGGAAACTCTGTCCCCATGCAAGTGGTATCCACCTACAATCACTTAAGCTTCATTTTCCACAGTGACAATTCAACCAACGGCAAAGGCTTTCTTCTGGAGTATGGCCTTTATTTGCCCACAGGGAACGGATCTCTACCCTCCCATAAAAAATCAGGTGGGTCACTGGTTCCTAACCTTTCAAGAACTTTGTACTGTCGTGATTACTCGTTCATTTTGATACTTCTCAGTAGTACTTCTTAACAGTTACTCTAACGTACAAACTGATAACAACAATTACCTCCTTCCTAAATGACTAAACGTAAACGTGAAGTTTTCCTTAACCTACCCACACTGCCTTATGTTCTCTCTTCCCCTTGCTAACGGCTTCACGTAAGCAAGTCTGTCTCTCCTCTTGCTGAAGCGAAAACATGCCAGACAGTCAGTTGAAGCGAATGAACTGACAAATGAATTAACCATTACGATGATGAAACAAACAGAGGACAGTCTGACAGATGCAACAGTCTTTAAAGCACTCGTGCTCATATTCTGAAAAGCCTCAGTGCAAAACTCGGCTGACCAAAATGGTAAAACGAACATGCCAATTTTGTTTTCCTTCCATCAAGCATAGGGAAATAAAACATTGCACATATGAAAATTAGAATTTAGATATTTCAAATAAATTTTGCGGGGGCAATTGTTTTGAGGATCAGGTGAAACAGAGAGAGCGTTCGTACGTTCGTATCATGCTCGAAACAAATTTTAAGATTTTTTTAAATTAAAAAAAATATCTTTAAAGTTAATTATTTTCCCATTTTCTATTGAAGATGGATGCGTTGACAAGGTTCTTTCTTCCTCTCTAGGACAAATAGATATAGCACAAGCTGAAACAACAACTGAAGGAGGCCATCACAGCTGCGCGGGACACACGAGCGGTGTAGAAGCCTTTCTATTCTCTATAAACTTTCTTTACGTATCAGTTAAAATACTGTAAATTATGGCTGATGTAGGTCGACGTATATATGCCAAAAAAAAATTAGCTCAGACTATAACTATGACAAATCAGAAACAAGCTAAAAGGGGTGGCGAGATCGTGAAATCGAGCTTCGTCTAATAGTTCTTGTAAAATGGCGGAAAAAAAGGTCATTTGGTCACCCTTGCCGTACACGTTTTACGTAAACACGGTGCGAAATCTCTCTAAAGTTTTCAATCGAGACGGTGCTTAAAGAACCTATTACACAATGAGCGAGGAGTAGATTACTGGAAGTCTGCTTTTCTCTAGATATGAAGAAAGCGTTAGAGAAGAGATGGAGACGAAAAAAGGACTATAGGGCAAGAGAAGTGGTTCTATGGTAGGGAAGAAGCAGTCTAATTCCAGATCCTTCCCGTTCAATGGTCAATCTTGCGTTTGCTTTCCGTCCACTCTTGTAAGAGAAAAAGAGAAAAAGGAAAGACACGGAGTCGCCTCAAGGAAAACTGGGTGAGGGTTAAATTTTTTCTCACCTACCATTTAATCTTCCTCTCCCGGATTTCAATATCTGTAACTGCTTCGGCAAAGTTCATCAGCATCAATGTGGCATGCGAAGGAGGAGACATTTGAAGAATAGTTTTCCAACCTCACGCTATCACAGGTTTACGTCCCTTACTTTTTTTCCGTTGAGCGAACCTCTCGAAAATAAAGGAAATGTTTTATATTGAACTAATCCATTCAGAATTCAAGACTTCATTTAGTTTATGGAGCAATCTCTAAACAAATTTAGGGGTTGATTACAGGGAGTTAGTTCCGAACCAAGCTATGATGCTGCGTTGGTGGGAGGTATTACAAGATAATTCGATGTTATCAACTGAGTCAAGAATGTAAATTGGCCACTTAGCCTGACTGTAAAAGAGTTTTCGAGGCTGACGTTCCAGACGTTAGCCCTTCGGCAGAATGGTTGATAACCGAGTTCAGTGGCGGTCCGTGCGTCACCGGCTGAGAGCAAAATAAAAGTTTGAATTATGACCACCTTATGTCAGTTATCACAAATAGGACCTACTAGAATACAAAAGAAGGGCGCGCACTGGACAACTACTTAAAAGATGAAACAGGAAAACCATTTCCTTCTTTATTCTACAAGTCAGAACAATAACCTTATAATTCATCGAGGAGTACGACTCATTCCCCCACTTGAATAATTTTAAACTGAGGTTTTTACGCTCTCGGAAAACGCCGAGGGCCGCGTGGATTTTTCTGGACCATTCACGTCAACTGACCCGTCCGGCCCTACACAGGTCAGCGTTCACTATGGTTTCCATGGGGCTCTACGGGTCATTTGATAAAAAGTTGATTTTAAACAGTTTTACAGTTGATCGAGAAGCTTTAGACTTTTAATAGGATAAGAGACGATGGTACTTTTTTATAATACGCTGTCCTTCCAACCTTCTCCCCTCTCTAAAATAAAAAATAAAAAAAACAACTCGTCGCAACAATGTTTGAAGGAATTTATTAAAATGGAAGACGAAACTCCAAAACATCCTTGGCAGGATTTCGAAATAGCAGAAAATGGAAAATCACTTCGGTGAAAGAAACTGCTTGTCTTCGAGTGAGATCACTTAGGAAAACGTGGTCTGTAAACTTCTTGATCTCAGGTGAGATCGTTAACAACAACATGACACTCTTCCTACTTTAGTCCTAACGATGCGTTTAGTGCAAGATTCACCTTTACTACCCGAATCAGCAACCTCGAGAGTAATGATTATAACAGTGCCTTAAACTGTTTCTCTTGTATTTTTTTTGCTCAACTTGGGCCCTACTACAAATTGAAATCTTGCACAGCTGGCAATAACATTTCTAGCCTTTGCGCGTCACAGGTCTTCCTTTTCCACGACAATTAATTCTGAATTAGCAAGATGAGCACCAGGTTCATTAATTACGTTCTAACACCATAATATACAGAAAATCACTTCACTAAACCAAAGTTTGCCAAAGCCACCTCAAATCATTGTTCGCCTCGAGGACAATACGGGCAGACTTTGCCGCATTCAACTTTTACTGCTCACTCTATTTTGGTCATGCGTAAGTCGTGTTCAGTTTTTTAGTCGCTCTTCAATTTTGAACCTGGCTTTAACAAAGTTACAAAGTTACATGAAACAATTTTGTGTCAGGTTTAGTGCATGCGCCAAAGTTGCATCATAGAAACAAACATTTAACAGATAAGTGAACCGAAATTAAGGCGAATGTTGTCAATATTGAGTAAGCACCCTCTTCAAAATAAAATGAAATAAACAGAAAATGAGTCGTGCAATTTTTACACTCTATCCTGCTTTAAATGTTGTTTCGTTCCATTTTTTCCATGTGAAGTAAAAATAATTGGTAATACCTGGTCAAAGCAAGGTAAAACCTTTCTCCGATACCTTTGCCGCTAACAAAAATAGACCAAACTTAGTAAACAAGTTTCTTGTACCATATAAATTACAATTCTTTTTTATATTCCTGGCAAGCGCCGGCGAACTTACAAAGGGTACTCTTAATTACTCTTAGTTGGCTCACCAGAATGCATGCTATCAACTGTTTCACGCTCTCCCAAAATAAATGGAATCTTTGCTTTCTGTGAAGACACTTAACAGCTGAAGCATACAATACCAAGACGACATTATTTTCAATACAAAATTAAAGTAGCTCCTGTTCCTTGCGATGACTTGAAGAGCTACATCTAAATTTAAGACGAACAACAAAATAGCCTATTATCATATTCATACCCAAAGAATGATGAATTTCTCGCAATCTTGGTGCCTCCCTGAGCAAGGTAGATTCGTCTCTACCTCAGTTATTTAGGAATTCTGCTAGACTGTTTACGATTGGAACGCAATACCTCAGTGCTGTTACGGTTAGTTTCAAGACTGAAATTCAACATTAACCAATGGGTATGTATACTAGAAAGCAATATCATTATTCTAATTGCATTTGTTGGGTGCAGATTTGATTGTTGTCAACTTGTACCACTTTACACTTAAGAACTTGTTAAATCTCTGTTTGCTGTATGTACTACCGATGGGGCATTTGTTGATGTGGCGCAGATTGCACCACAAATTGTTGACCCACCACATTGGCAGCTGGTGCAAATGACTGTGGTATTCTTACAACGTACTGTCCACTAGCGTTCGAGTTAGCGTTTACAGCAACTGGCCACGAGGGCTGAGACTCTCCAACAGGATGCCACTGGTGTTCGTCCATATTTGCTGCCCATTGAACATTATCCGGCCCGTTGGGCCAAGGTCCATTTATAACAGCGCCAGTATAACTTGTAACTGGAACTTGAGCGCCCTGAGGGGGAGCCTGTAAGTTTGAAAATGTACTTGGGAAAGCCGCAATGGGTTGTTGGGAGACTGTTGCCTGAGGAACTCCCTGCGATCCAGTTCTTGGGGGTCCCGGAGTTGAAGCTGTTTGTATTGGAGGTACCTCTCGCTGAAGCTGGTTCACTTTGATCTGATTTAAACTTAATTTTGGTTCTACTTTTCCTCCCGTTGCCTGGCCTGCAACTGCAGAAGATGTCGGTTTTTTCTTAGTCTTGCTCTCGAACTGCGCCAATTGTTCAATCTCCTTATCGATACCAGAGAAAGTCTTTTTTGGGACGTTCGCATTGGCCGCGGCAGCCGACATTTCAGCGCTGCATCCATTAATCTTAGAATGATCATTGTACTCTGGTCCCTCCTCTGTACTACTCTTGTGCCGAAGTGGAGGTTGTTGTTGTTGATGTTGCTGTTGCTGCTGTCTCTCTTTTTTCATCTGAGCCTGAAAAGCGTCTTTCAATTGTTGCTGTTGCTGCTGTGTGCGTTGCTGATGCTGTCGCTGTTTCTTCATTTCAGTTTTCTTTTTAAATTGCATTAACTCTTTCTCGTGTCTTTTTTCCAGTTCTTCTTTTTCTTTGCGATGCCTGGCGAACAAAGTTACATGTGAGTCCCTGGACAATTCGTCGGAATAAACAGATGGCCAATCCAGAACCATCCGATACTTTACAAACATAAAATTTAAGTAAATAAATGACGAAATCCTCAATCTTCGGATTTCGCCGCCGCCTGGTTAGCTCAATTGGGAGAGCGCCGGACTGCTGTGCGGGAGGGTCGAGAGTTATACCGGCCGGATCAACACTCAGGGTCTTAAAATTAATTGAGAAGAATATGCTTCCTTTCTTTAACATCAAGAAATGGTTAGATATTCTAGTCTTCTCGGATAGGGACGAATAAATGGAGGTCCCGTCTCCTGCAGGGTTGGGGTAGGAGACGTTAATTTCCCACGCACGAGATTACTGTGTGATGGACGTCCTCCCTGGGGTGGGTTGAGTTGGTTAGGTGAAATCGCTACGGACTAAACACGGCTGCCAGAGGCGCCTGTCTGATTTCAACCTTAAAATTGTAACTAAACACGTATGTTGTTTGGAGAAATAGAGACCTTTACCTTTACCTTTGCCTTCACGACAAATCAAATCCCCTATCTTCGGATTTCACGATAAATCAAATTCCAGATCTTCCGATTTCAAAAGGAATCGAGTCCCAAACCTTCGAATTTCACGAGGTCTTCCAGATCTTCGGGTTTCGAGCTGGGATGGTCACCGGAACGCAAAATTTCGGAATTTCGAAATCTAAAATCTAGAGTTCGATTCCTTGTGCGGGGACTCAGATGCTTTTGATCGATTTTGCCTTGTTTACCATTTTGACAGCACGACCTTAACCCTTTAAATTTAAGTAAATAAATGACGAAATCCTCAATCTTCGGATTTCACGACGAATCAAATATCCTATCTTCGGATTTCACGATAAATCAAATTCCAGATCTTCTGATTTCAAAAGAAATCGAGTCCCAAACCTTCGGATTTCACGAGGTCTTCGAGATCTTCGGGTTTCGAGCTCGGATGGTCACCGGAACACAAAATCTAGGAATTTCAAAATCTAAAATCTAGAGTTCGATTCATTGTGCGGGGACTTAGATGTTTTTGATCGATTTTGCCTTGTTTACCTTTTTAACAGCACGACCTTAACCCTTTACACCCTAGCATCAGTATGATTATTTTCCAAAGGGTTCTCCATACATTCCCTAGACATTTCTAACAATCTAGAGTTCTTTTAGCTGGTGTTCATTTCCTTTGTTCTCGCAACATTTGTGTGAATCAGGGGGAAAATAGATGCCAGTTACTCTCTAAGGGTGAAAGAGTTAAAAGTACCAAATGAAGTCATACCTTGCGCTATATAATCTTACATAGCTAGCTGACCTGATACCTTTACACGGGAAAACAATGATGAAGAAATTCGACAACGAGACAATGAGTAGGAGTAAAAAGAACGATGGAAATGATCCTCCTTAAGGTAGCTGTACAGTTCGTCGATGTAGTTTGCGATAGGGTAGCAAAACTTCAAACCCACACTCTGAAGCCTCACATTTCAGAAAATTCACTCCATAAAGTCATCTCAAATAAACCTCGACTGTTCTCTTATTTTAGGTTCCTGGTGGATTACACGGAATTATGAAATAGCACTATCAGGGCTGGAATTAAAAAAACGTTAGGCACTTCATCTGGATATCGAAGTAGGAAGACACACCGTACCTTGTAGTGAGTTTCCTTAACTCTTCCTCTTCCTCAGTCGACAGGTCTAACAAGATATGCAGTCGCTGTTCAAAATCGCTTTGGGAATGCAGTGACTTTGTTTTCTGTGCTGTTTTCCTCTGCTGAGAAATAGTACGAAAATGCTCAAAGAAGTTGAGAGATCTCTCGCTACGATTGACGTGCGTTTTCAATTCTTGGTTTTTCTGTCCGCAGAGCCTAGCTACTTAGCATGAGAAGCATTTACTATTTGAAAGAGGCTTCCCTGGAACTCCACAATATACATATGCAAAGCAAGTTATAGTTAATACCTGTTCTCCTTCTTGCTTTGCCAATAAATGTCTCGCACCATCATTAAGCAAATCGCTTTGCCCACTGTTCTTTCTCACTGGGTCTTTATTACAAGCTGCAGATGGACTATTTGAGCCCTGTCCCTCAAGGGGAGTTGTCTGAGGTGAACTTGAAGACGTGTGAGAAATCATTGCACCTGGCTGAGAGCCCACTGAGTTAAGGCTTTCCATTGATGAGCTGGGAGTCAGAGATGGAACTGATCCCATGACGGCAGCAGTAGTCATATCTGAAAGGGTTACATCTAAAGGCGCTTGCGAAGGTAACAAAGGTCTTGCATTGTCCAAAGTCTCCGATAATGGCGTGTAAGGCCTATCGGATGACGCGGAAATGGTGAATCTTCCCTGAACAAATTCACTTACTGACGACGTGGCTCTTACTTTTTCGTTAGGAGCACCAATTGATAGCTCATCGTCCGACGAAGCAACAGACTCTACTTTGTGCTTGTCGGGATTAAGGTCCTCTCCAGATATCTGAGATTCAAATTTTACCTGGCGTAATGGAAAAGATCCCTCCTCGGAATTAGAATTATCAACCGGATGAAAAGCATATGTTGGGGTCTGCGGCCTTGAAGAATTTGTATATGGTATAGTTTGAAGTTGTTCCCCCTCCTTTGAAACTTGAATATCAAAACTCATTTGCATTTCTCCAAAGTCATGTAAAGATCGTGAGGGTAGTTCAATATCTGATTTTTCATCAAGTCTTTGATCTTCCAACGGAGCTGTACTAGCTGCTTCTTGCTGTGAACTTGACGCACTGTCTTTGTTTGAAAGTTTCTCTCGAGTTTCTGTTTGATCGCAAAGCTCCTGATAAAGTCCTGATTCTGACGTTCTTGAAATGTCTTTGTTAGAGGTATCTGATGATAGCTCACTCTCAGAGCTTAAACACAAATCGCTGTTGGTCTTGAGGACTGGCGGTGATTCATGTTCATTTTTTGTCATCACTTCAGGTGATGACATATTGTTTAACACAGGATCTTGAACTTTACTCACAGTAAAGCGTCGCTTGGGACCTCCAGAGAAAGGCACTGCGGTTTGCTCATCTTCAACAGGAGAATTACTTCGTAAAGTTTCAACATTTTGTGCCGGTGCGTCATCACTTCTCTGTGGTTCTTCGTTCGCTGGTTCTCCCACCACTAAATGTGGTTCTTTTCCTTTCTCCAAATCCTGATCAATCTGATGACTTGCCTGAAAACTTTCTTCCTTTGGAGAGAGATAGTTGGTTTCTGAAGTTTGTTGAACTTGCTGATGAGGGACAGGATTTAATACCACAGGCTGTTTGGCTTTTTCTTCTGTCTTTGCGGTCACCATTGCTGAGGGTTTCTGGGAACCCTCCGAAAGTTGTTCAAGAGAATTGGGTTTTTGCTCAGAGACTGCCGCCTGTTTTTCATCTGGCTGTGAAATTTCAGCAACAGGGAGTTCATTTTCAGGCTGAAATGGGCCTGAATCAGAATTTTTGACGGCTGCAGTAGCATCCACAAAGAAAGGAACCTCCTTTGGAAAAGGACTTTCCAATAACTATAAAATAAGAAGATAATAATGAGAAATTGACACCTCTAGATTACTCCGACAGAAATTCTACTCGATTCATAAATACTCTGCTCAGTAATTTGGGTATAGATAAAAGGTCATCACTGATGACAATCTATGGCAAAGTGTTCTCATCACTGCAGATTTAAGGAAATCTTTCTCTCCCTTGTTAATGTTGCAAAAAATATTAAATGTATGCCTATGAAACCGTAAGACTGCAAATCAAACGTTTAATGATTAATGGACTACAATGGCTGCTAATTGACACTTAAAACAACATTCAACCAGACTTTTGTAAAATAGAGTGGGGGTGCCAGATTTTAATTTCTTGAGAAAGTTTTGATCTTAAAAGATCGACACTTTTTCAGTGTTACTCTTGAAGCAGAAAGCTAGATTTTTGGGATTTGCTGTTACATGAACGGTTCACTGCAATGGAAATCGGGGATCATTGCGGGTGTTTTAGGCTGCAATCGGTGTCACATCAAACAGCCTTGCAATGTACACACTTACATAATGTTGTCTTTTAATTTGAACAAGAAACAAACAACAGTAATAGTAGAAATTACTACCATGTGTGCGTGGCTTATCAACTAAGAGTTAAGGTGGTTACTCAGTATTGCACCGCGCATCCTATACTACGCATAAAAATTACCTAATCAAACGAATAAGCGCGCACACAAGTGTTTACGAAGCCCGTTACTCGACATGTGGTGCAAATTATAACCTTAAACCAACGAGTCGAGGAACGTTTTGAGTCGATGACGTTTAAAATTTCGTGCCTTCTCCTCAAATCAGACATCTAATTGTTCCAGACACTCGAGACTTTCTACCTATTAAATTGAATACTTAAAAAACCCTTGCTTCCAGCTACCTCAAAATGTATCGTGAACCAATGAAATAATGCGCGTAATTAGTGCCAGTTCAGACATAAATGGGGCACGTTCGGCCCGTCGTATCTCTTAAACAAGCTCGGTGACCTATCTTTTTTAATGTACTTTTCGAAACGGGCACTGGCAGGGAACCTCTAAGAAAAGTTAAAAACCAAAAATTGTTCGAAACTTTTTTTCTGAGGAATCACCTTAACAGTCAGCCAGTTCTGCCTGCTTTAGTGACACATTTCTACCAAGCGAACTAATGTACCCTATACTCCTATGTAATATACCCTACCTGCTGTGAAGGACCCCCAAGAGAAATGCTTTCCGATGAGATTTGAGTTTCCAGCACTGTCCTTTCACTTGTACTCTCTGTTCCCGGTTGGCTCTTAGCCTTCTGTACCCTTTCCTTAGCCTCGCTTATCACACGCCGAAGCTGGTTTTCAAACAGCTGTTTGTTGCATTCTTGTAAATGACCTGCTTCCATCTGACAATAAGATAATCAATCATTACTAAGCAATAACACAACCAGGATCTGACAACCTATTACTAAAGGATCTCTCTCTAATGATCAATAATCATACACCAAATTGGTAAATATCCACAGTTCATCCCTGGAAAGCATTGAAGTGGATACGATTGTTTCCTAAAGTATTTACATTGTACCAAACCAGTTTGATGAAAAGCTCAAAGACTGATGCAGTTTGAAGTTAATCCTTAGTGCAAGCAAGAATGATTAACCTCAAGTGATGATGGTGACTTTGAATGGCAAAGCCAACGGCTTGCAAAACCTTTGAAGCAGACAGTTAAGAATTTAGTATTTTAAGTGGTAAATAAAAGAAGGGGCACTCATGCAAACAGTTTAGCTTTTTATAAGACGATTAATAAAAATTGCAACTGCATTTAATCAGTTCATCATAATTATAATAAAGTACCTCAATCATTGAATAGTTTCACTTGTCAGTGCAGATCAAAAGTCTACAACTTTACAACATATTATTTCATTATTTACATAACTTAGTCTTACCATATTGGTAGAAACTTCATCTGGCTCATCATCATCAATACCAAACTTAAAAGTTATCCTGCTGTTTTTGTAGGTATCAAAGCTACACTCAACCACAGGACCTTCTGGAGACCCTTCAATCCTTTTTAGTTGAATCCTTGGTAACCTATCTTTCTTTGCTTGCTTTACAGCTGATTTACTATCTTTCTTCTCCAAGCCTGGTGCCGAAGGTGCAGTTGACAAAGAAAGATTAACAACAGCAGTACTCTGGCTTCCGCTAGTGGTGAGGCACACATATCCTGAAGACAAAACCTCACCTACAGAGGTTGGAGCAGAAGAGACTGATGATATCGATGATGTATTTGACCCATAACCAGACGAACTGTATGGCATCTCAGGTATCACAGTGCTGCTGAAAGTTGTTTCAGTTGGAGTGGGCAGAGCTGGGGATGGCAAAGGCTCTACCTCCTGAAAGAGATGCATAAAAAAGTCATTTTAACCACCACTGATAGCATTATTCTTCACAGTTTACATTCAAAATGAGCTCATATTGCACTCAAATTATGAAATTAAAAAATGGAAAAAAAAGAGAAAACCCTCAACAGATAAATAGTAATGAGAAATCAAGTTATTTTTATTACATGCATGTCCTGAGTACTTGAAAGAAATTGGTGAACAATGGTTGATGATAGAACAATGTCAGTATTTCTATAGTACTAGCACATCACATCGCAAGAGATGAAATGCATTATCCCTTTACTGAGTTTTCAAAAATAATTGATGATTTATCTGAGCCACAGTCATAGAGCATTTAACTAACAATAGGAAAGCTGAGATTGGCTGTAAATCTTTACCAGGGAGTCAGATTCTTCCTTTTTCCTTTTTCCCTTTCACACAAACAATTATGTGCGAAAGTCAGTCCCTCTTTAAATTCAGGTTTAAGTTAGGTTGAGAAATATTTAGCTCTTCAGTCTTGTTCCTGACATACACACCTCATAACCTAACACCAAATTAATTTCCCATTTGACCCTTCCATATAGGCAATAGGTACAAATTATTTAATTTGTCTCGACAGTATTATGAAATATCCCCAAGCACATACCGTGGGTAGTGTTGCAACAGATGAAACAGGCTCTGCTTCCAAAGCCACACCTGGACTCAATTCTTCTATGTTACCAGCTAATTTCTGTTAAAGTAAAAAAGCAGAGAATACAAACGGCTTTATTTTCAATTACAGTTATGCAACACAGCTCAATGGTTCCTTAAATAAGCTCTTGCCCCTATTTAAAACTGGTACATAAGTAAATTGTTCCACTTTCTTGAAACAGATCAGAATCAATTGTCAACAGCTGAACAGTCAACCTACATTAGAACACGTTTATGGCACCTATTGAATTAACCCTTCACACCCCAACATCAGTATGCATATTCTCCATACTGTTCTCTATACATTTCATAAAGGTACTGACAAGGAGAATTTGTTTAACAATCAAGGGGCTCTTTTTTTTTGTGATTATTTCTTTTATTCACATGACCTTCCTTTTTTGATTCAAGGGTAATACTATTAGGAAAAATTGGTTGCTAGTCTCTCTTACAGGTTAAAGGGTTCATGGCTATTTTTTTCATTAATAGCTTGATCCTTTTTCCCAGCCAAGTTACTTTGTTCAACCAGTATCATAGTGCTTTGGCTAATTAAAATGTAACCCAAAATTCAGGGTTCTTGCACTTTTTCAGGAACCTAATTCAACAACTTTCAAGGACTTTTTAGGTCATTTTTAAAGACCTTGGCTCTCAAATTCAAGGACCTTTTGCATTACATAGGAGCTAACAGTAATAATAACCACTGAACCATATCACATGTTTCATATTCGTGTAGGCAACAACAATCTCAATAACACGAGCATGTGTGCAGGACCAGCCAAAAAGTCCCATGAGCGTGACTTCAAGCATGCACATCAAAGTGATCACAAGCTAGGTAACCAAGGTCAATGCACCAGTCAGGTACAAAATATGTAAAAATCATGTGTCAAACATCATAATTGGAAGCACGATTTGAAAGGAAAATTCATTTTCATGATTTGTGCTAGAAACTTTCACTTTCAACACCACAATCAAAAGAAAACTTCGACTTTAATTTATCTGCACTCATTTTGAAGGACTTTTCAGAAATTTTCAAGGATCCGAGTCTAAATTCAAGGGTTTTCAAGTCCATGAAAAAAAAAAAGTTAAATTCAAGGACTTTCAAAGGGCACAGGAACCCTGAAAAATAAGTAGCAACCCAAGAAATATTAAACAAATATTTTTTGTTTACCTTTCTACAGGCAACTTATTGCAAAGTCTATGTATCTAACATGTAACTTCTGTTTATGTCAAAACATTAAACAGAAAATAAACTACCTTTTCTGAAGTATCCTGGCAAGTGGTGATTGTGTGCTCGTCAATTGTTCCATGAGGACTACTTCCACATTCTGCAATTCCCTCTAATCTTTCAACTGAAGGATCAATGACGCGCCTTCCTAAGCTACTTTTTCTTACTGAAACTTCAGCAGTCGATTCCAACTCTTCCTTGTAGTCCTTCTCTTCATGGTCCTCCTTCTCCTTCTCTTTCTCTTTTTCTTTCTCCTTCTCTATCTCCTTATCTTTCTCCTTCTCTTTTTCCTGATCTTTCTCCTTCTCAGTTTCAGGCAACTGCTGTTCTTTGTCACTATCATCTCCTTCCACTTTCACAGTCTGTTCATCATCTTGCCTTTCTTTCTCTCTCTTGTCTTCACCCAAACTTTCACGTTTGACATTGCGGCGATTCAGCATAACTTGAGCTATGCGGTCCCTGATGGACTTTGTGACTGCCTTTTGGTCCTCATCATAAATAAAGCCTTGACGGACCTGTAAAAAACATACACAGTTAAAAAAATTACAAGCATACAAGCTCCACCATTAGAGCAAATATCTTTATCTTATTATATAAATGCACCAAAAACTTATGAAGAAGGTGAAATTACACTATTAATTTTCCTAACAACACCATTAAAAAACTTGATCAGTAAAACTACCCACAAATCAATGTAATTCTGAGGTGCATATAGCCAGCCTGCAACGCAAGAAACCAATAAAACTTGCGCACATGATTAGTTTTGAGAAAGTAACCACCTTGAACCTAAATAATAATATACTTGTTGTGTTGCAACACACCCAAACCTGTAGGAATGAACATGCATAAAACAAGTAACTACAAAAAGCAGAAGCCATGTTGCAAGACAAGTAACAAAAGCCATATCCATATTTTACATCAGAGGATGGAAAGAAAGTGTTAGAAAGCTTGCCATAGAAATTTGAATATTGTTAATGAGGTATTTAGGGATAAAATACCCATTCACAATCCTCAATCATATGTCATTTCAGAAAAGGCAAATATGCTTTCAGAAATGCAGAAAGGTCATCTTCTTGTTCAGGTATCACTGTCCAAATGAAATACAAAAGATCATGTTAGGTAAAAGCATCAGACTATTCAAATTTATATGTGAATTAAAATGCTTAGTTATGAAAATGAATTGTACACAAGAACTTAAACTTCACTACTTTTGTCTCAGTGAAGAATAAGTTACCATATTTACCCGTGTACAATACGCACCCATGTATAATGCACACCCTTGTTATTAACCTAATTTATCAAAAAAAAAGTTTTTCACAGCAAAAAAGACAAGTTAAATATTTGTACAATTATTCACTAAGACAACAAGAATATATAAGAAATTTAATATTTCATTAACATCAATATCTTTTGCTACTTAGTTATTCATGACATTATTGAAATCAAATTTTAGGACTTCAAGCGAGGCCTAGCTTATTTGACGATTCCATGGCCCGGTAAATGTTATGAGTGAGCAACAATATGTCCGAAAAGTATTGAAGATTTTGTGTTGTATAGTTGTATTTTCAGAATTTTCAAACTAACACTGCAATTTTCTGCCTGTAAAGTCAAATAAAAGAATCTAACCAAGATGAATTCCACTGCGTGCGCTTTGTACAGATAAGGAATTTGCACATTTTTTGCTTATAAATATCTGGCATTTTTTGTCATTCCTCTTGATTTTAGAGTAAAAACTTAATAGGCACCTATAATTTTTCATTGAAAATAAGTTATTTAATCAAAGCTTTAAATGGGTTACTTTTTTTTGTTGTGTTTTTTACATATGCAAATTAGGACATGCGTGACAAACAATGGAATCCGTGTATAATACGCACTAAGACTTTGATGGCTATTTTTGTAGAAAAAAAGTGCACATTATACACAAGTAAATACGGTTCTCCCAGATTTATAGCAATTCATGCTCTACAGATGTGTTCACTCGACTATAAATCACAAAGTTTGAGTCATTTTCATTCAATAAATATGAATACAAATATTTAATGACTGCTTCAAAACAGGAATTATGAAATAACATACCTTGTTAAATCTGAGTTCCATCAAAGTTCACTATGTGCTTACTCAGAGTAAATAACCACCACTTTCATGTTGTTTGACACCAGAAACAACAACTAACTTCTTCCTTCCTTTTGAAGCCTGCCTTTCAACTTGTTTTAATTCTGTTTCACTGTTAAGTTTTGTTAAAAATTAAATTCTAGTTTAGAGAGATGTCTGTTCAGTTACACAAGTTATACACACTGAAAAAAATAAGCCATCAGTTCTCTGATACCTCTAAAGTCAGCTCACTTGGCAATCTTCAAGTGGCCAAAACAACCTTCGAATCAAATTCACTCACATGTTAATAATCATTAACAATTGTGTGGACACAAGCATGCAACAGGCAAAACTGAAAATCTGTTCTGAAATCTGAAAAAGCCATGAAGCAAAATTACAAAAGAACTGGAACTTAAATGATACAAACTTTCACTTTTGTCTGCTTGCATGCCATGAGCTAAAACTCCTACCTTCTCAAGCTGTGAAACAAAAATGTAGGTTAGAATTATCTACTGGACATTAACAGATGTACTCACCAATTCTTGGGTGACCTTATCTGGTTGATCAGTACCCAGATTAAAATCAAACTGAATTCCTTCATTCTGCTTGTGTTTGTCTTTGCGTTTCTTGGGATCTTCCAGCTGAAGTAACAGCTTCACTAGGTCAGCAGCTTTAGAGATATCGCTGTCAGTACCAGGTTCTGCCTCCACTAAATTCACCTTCACTCCAGAGTCTTCTTGAAAAAATGGGTGGTTTAACATATCTTTGATTGTATATCTAAAAAATCATGTAAGAAACAAAAATGTTATTTCATTCAATTGTTACCAAGAACTTTTTATTTACATTATATCCAGCATTCATTCCAAATATCTCAATTATATTGTTTATATCTAGTGCATTTATCATTTACATACAAAATTATGTAAATACATGTGTATCACCACATCTGTGTTAAGTAACAACCAGGAGGAACAAGAGGATTGTATTTCAAAAAGAAATCATCCTACTATGTTTTTTTTTCCAGAATGTTCATTAGCTAGCACATGCACATTGTTAACTCTTTGTGCTTTTCATAGTTTTCTCATTGGAAGAATATCCTTGCCCTTTCATTGAATGAAAGGGCAAAAATTTCATCAAATTTAATGTCTGTTACAAACTATTCTTACCTCACAAATAAATTTTTTCATTTGAATTTTCAGGCACACATTCAAAAAGTTTAAAATAATCTTAAAAGTTCACTGAGAAAATAGCATAGAAGGAAAAACTAGGAGGCCTTGGAATTTTTAACAAAAGTGTACAGTGACAGTTTGTAGCTTCAATAAACCAATCCCAAATGTCAACCATATACATTGTAAATGTATGCACTAACTTAATTACCTTTCCTCAATCTTGGCTTTGGTGCAGCCTTCAATGATCTGTCTGATTTCCTTTGAACCAACCTTATCCAAACACTCGGGCTTGATACCCTGTTAATTGAAGTAATTCATATATCATGGTCTATTCAGTAATTAACCTTTCAAAAGAAAACTATAGAACTTTGGTGGTAATGCTGGCAATAACAATGCCTCCAACAATGAAAATCTCTGTTCTTCACCATGCTGAAAACTAATGCTCAAGCTTAGCATCTTACATCTGGTGTTACATGCTTACTCTACTCAGATTATTTACCATCAGCAATTAACCACACTTTTTATCAGTTTACCAGGGTACTAAACCAAGCAGGATGCTGGGAGAACACATGAAAGGTGTAAACCATAAGGCCCAGCCATAAGCTTGAGTAGAAATTGTGATATACCAGATGAAGGCACAAACTATTACGTGCTAATGTAGAAAACTTCAATTTGGACAAAGAAATGTTAACTTTGTGTTGAGAGTATGTCTACCACAGCAAAAGTGAATGTCTCTACAGATCAAAGCTTCTAAAGTTTGCTAGCCTACACTGATTCAAAGGCTGTTTCCATATTCTTTAATTCACCATACTCTATTTTCCTACCAAGTTTGTTCCTATTGCCTCTGCTTAAATTAAAGCTTTCATGGAGTCCTCATCAAAATTTACAGAAAGTACTAAAAACACTTAAATTTGGCAAAAACTATCAAATGAAAACTGAAATTCAGGACAGCCAAAGGAATAGTGCCCTAAATCTTAAGTACACACTCACTCTGCAAAAGGTTTTCATTCTATTGCAAACAACATTTTCAATAAATTTGTGAATGAAATCCTGTTAGTCACTTTAACTGCAAGCAGTTTGGGGAATTCTAGTCAAGAATTTCTGAAGTTCTTTCACATCTACCATGCAGCAAAAAAGGGCCTAAAATGGTGCAACCAGTCAGTTACACAGCACTTTAAAAAGGAAATTTGATAAATGTTAGAAAAAATTTTTCTCATAGTTTTCCACATTCAAAGCGTCATCATTCTGTTATAATCTATGCTTATACTCAATTTCTCTCTAAATCCAGTTCTCCTCATACAACTTAACTGAAATTTAACCTAAATGGCAGATAATTAAAATGGGAGTTCGTGTTTTTATAATTAAGACAGTGTTTTTACGTCAAACTCAGAATTAAGAAAGAATGAGAAGATTTTTGAACTCTAGAGGCACTTAAACACATTTACTAGCCAAAATGAAATGAAGACATTTTCAATGGCTATGTGTGAGCTCCAAGCCTAGTCAATAACCCCAGTTATATTTCATTTTACACCTTCCAACATTAAATACAAATGAGAGATAACTTACACTAACAACTCTTCGATAAATTTGTGCAGGGTTTTGGCATTCCATATAGGGATACTCTAGTGTTGTCATCTCTAGCATGCACATCCCAAAAGCATAAACATCCACAGATTCATCATAGTGTTCTTCATACATTTCAGGTGCCATAAACTCTGGAGTACCTGATAAAAGATATGGATCAGTTCATGTAAAGTGGTTGAAATCTTTTCTCAACAAATGTAAGTGAAATTTGAATTGTTATTTCTGTTAAATGCCCCTTACATATCCAACCAACTACCATTTGTTGTATCACACAGAGGCAAAATTATTGAATGCTGATTGATGAGTGAAAACATTGTGAATCATGGGGAAACTTTTGGCAGTGGGATGGGCATGGTAATCCTGGTTGGATCATCATCTGGGTTTGCTTAAATGTCCTTATCTCCCTTCTAACTGGACACAAAAACAAAACAAAAAGCATTCAGTTACATTTCTGGTCTCAGACCATTTGTAGTTTCTAACTTCTCCTTTAAGTCAAATCTGCACATGTTTGGTGGCACTGTACACAGTAGAATATTATAGTCGTGAATCTTAATCTTATATAACTGGCAATGCCTGAGGGTAATACGAAGCAAATCCTATGTTCTGATGGCCCATCTTGCCCACTTTGATCCCGTACAAGAAAAAACAATTTAGTACTTTTTCACAGATGTCGAAGGTGGAGTCACAAAAGGCAGCAAAAGAAAGTCAAACAAAGAAAACATAACCAGAACTTAAGAGTTTATCATGCTAGAAACAGAGATGGATTTCTTCTCTGGCTCTTAAAATAAACAAGTCATTCTTGATTCTTATAAATACAAATTCATTCTGATATAGAGTAAATCCTTTATTGACCAAGATGGCTGAATACTAGCCTTGTTCTTTGAACACATTTTTGGGACTTCGATGTTTAGTTTAGTTTAGTTTAATTCATTCGCCACAGGAATGGCAGGAGAAAGGAACAGAACTTTCGTTCCAATTGACACCTAACCCCTTT